GAAATAAAAACTGAAATAAATCATTCTCTCTACTATTATTCTGACATTTCACATTCTTAAAATAAAGTGGTGATCCTAACTGACCTAAGACAGGTAATTTTTACTAGGATTAAATGTCAGGAATTGTGAAAAACTTAATTTAAATGTATTTTGATAAGGTGTATGTAAACGTCCGACTTCAACTGTATGTCTCAGCGCGGCACTGCGATGTGTGCGCGTTCAGTGCGGCCAGTGTTGGAAAATGAAAGAGACCGGCTGCTCATTTGTCTGGAGAAAAATATAAGTTTATCCTATAATGCTTTCACGTTGGAATACAGTTCAAGCACAAAAACACAATTTCCCTGCAGTTTCACATTTAGATCGTTCAGATGCCCCAATATGTCCACACCGAAAGCAAAGTCGCCCAGCCAGTCTGTGTCTTTTAACTCGGAGAAGTCGTCAGCTTTACCGACCTTATCAAGGAACATACCTATCTCCCCTCTCAGTTCCCACACACGGCAAAATACTTTTCCCAGGTTTAGCCAGCGCACATTTGAATGGTACAACAAGTCCTGGTGCTCTGCCTCTGTGTCATTGAACAGCTGAATGAACTGATGATGGTTAAGCTCCCTTGCCCGTATAAAGCTGACAAGTTTTACAACCCCTTTGACAACATTTTCCAGCTTTAACACACTTTTAGCATGCTTGCTTGAAAAATGAAGATTGAGATTATATTCCTTAAAAACGGCAACGCTTTCTTGGCATATTAGTAAAAAAGGATTTTGCTGTCCATTCTGCTTTAAACACATGACATTCAGTGTCCACTTTTGTCATTTTCGCAGCACTCATTTTTTCACCTCAAAAGTCGTCAAGCAATGAAGTTGCTATGATGACTGAGCGCATTCTGAATCTGACTGTAGGCCCAAATACAGAGCGCTGCCAGACTACAGCGCCATCTATTGGAGGTTGTTTGTATATCATGGAATTAGTAATTTTGGGTCATAAATCGTAACTCAAATATAATAATTTGAATACATTTAATAAATGACTCGCGGGCCTGAATTGAAGTGCCCGGCGGGCCGGATACGGCCCGTGGACCCTACTTTGCCCCCACTTGCCCTAGCCCCTACTGCCCAGAGTCAAGACACTTGTGGAGATCTGAGAGGGATTGATGGGTGGTGACATGGTGAGAGTTCCACCTTACTCTCTGATAGGCATGGTGGAATTTTGCGGGTATTGCTTACACCTGTCCAATTCTCTCAGATCTCCACAAGTGTCTAGGGGTAAGGGCTAAGGGTTGTTTCTGGACAGGACCCCACAACCCTTTGGGTATGTGGTGGACCTACAGCTCAACACTTAAAGCATTGGTTGGATGTTTAATTCCATTGCTGTACACACATAGATTTGCACAGGTGTAAACTGGACACACCCACGGCACCTTATCGAGCTGAACAGACAGGTCTGGGTAGCTAGAGACCTGCTGTAAACAGTGAAATAATATATTTACATGTCTGCTATTCACACCCATGTGTTGTGACTAGAACTGTTTGGCTATAATGACCATCGTTATGTTTGGAAGAAAAAAGGGGTAGCTTGCAAGCTGAAAAGCACCATCCCAACCGTGAAGCACGGGGGTGGCAGCATCATGCTGTGAAAAAGCGTGTGTGAGCAAGGAGGCCTTCAAACCTGACTCAGTTACACCAGCTCTGTCAGAAGGAATGGGCCAAAATTCACCCAACTTATTGTGGGAAGCTTGTGGAAGGCTACCCGAAACGTTTGACCCAAGTTAAACAATTTAAAGACAATGCGACCAAATACTAATTGAGTGTATGTGAACTTCTGACCCACTGGGAATGTGATGAAAGAAATAAAAACTGAAATAAATCATTCTCTCTACTATTATTCTGACATTTCACATTCTTAAAATAAAGTGGTGATCCTAACTGACCTAAGACAGGTAATTTTTACTAGGATTAAATGTCAGGAATTGTGAAAAACTTAATTTAAATGTATTTTGATAAGGTGTATGTAAACGTCCGTTTCAACTGTATGTCTCAGCGCGGCACTGCGATGTGTGCACGTTCAGTGCGGCCAGTGTTGGAAAATGAAAGAGACCGGCTGCTCATTTGTCTGGAGAACAATATAAGTTTATCCTATAATGCTTTCACGTTGGAATACAGTTTAAGCACAAAAACACAATTTCCCTGCAGTTTCACATTTAGATCGTTCAGATGCCCCAATATGTCCACACCGAAAGCAAAGTCGCCCAGCCAGTCTGTGTCTTTCAACTCGGAGAAGTCGTCAGCTTTACCGACCTTATCAAGGAACATACCTATCTCCCCTCTCAGTTCCCACACACGGCAAAATACTTTTCCCAGGTTTAGCCACCGCACATTTGAATGGTACAACAAGTCCTGGTGCTCTGCCTCTGTGTCATTGAACAGCTGAATGAACTGATGATGGTTAAGCTCCCTTGCCCGTATAAAGCTGACAAGTTTTACAACCCCTTTGACAACATTTTCCAGCTTTAACACACTTTTAGCATGCTTGCTTGAAAAATGAAGATTGAGATTATATTCCTTAAAAACGGCAACGCTTTCTTGGCATATTAGTAAAAAAGTATTTTGCTGTCCATTCTGCTTTAAACACATGACATTCAGTGTCCACTTTTGTCATTTTCGCAGCACTCATTTTTTCACCTCAAAAGTCGTCAAGCAATGAAGGTGCTATGATGACTGAGCGCATTCTGAATCTGACTGTAGGCCCAAATACAGAGCGCTGCCAGACTACAGCGCCATCTATTGGAGGTTGTTTGTATATCATGGAATTAGTAATTTTGGGTCATAAATCGTAACTCAAATATAATAATTTGAATACATTTAATAAATGACTCGCGGGCCTGAATTGAAGTGCACGGCGGGCCGGATACGGCCCGTGGACCCTACTTTGCCCCCACTTGCCCTAGCCCCTACTGCCCAGAGTCAAGACACTTGTGGAGATCTGAGAGGGATTGATGGGTGGTGACATGGTGAGAGTTCCACCTTACTCTCTGATAGGCATGGTGGAATTTTGCGGGTATTGCTTACACCTGTCCAATTCTCTCAGATCTCCACAAGTGTCTAGGGGTAAGGGCTAAGGGTTGTTTCTGGACAGGACCCCACAACCCTTTGGGTATGTGGTGGACCTACAGCTCAACACTTAAAGCATTGGTTGGATGTTTAATTCCATTGCTGTACACACATAGATTTGCACAGGTGTAAACTGGACACACCCACGGCACCTTATCGAGCTGAACAGACAGGTCTGGGTAGCTAGAGACCTGCTGTAAACAGTGAAATAATATATTTACATGTCTGCTATTCACACCCATGTTTCATTCCAGCTAATTAGATATGCAACTACTAACTAACTATAGCTAGGGCATATATCTAGCAATAGATACTGTTGTTTTGGCTGTATAGCATAATTTAATAAGATTACCAATGGTTAGCTAGGTAGCTAGTATATATCAGTCAGCTAACCATTTACAGTAACAGCAGTTCACTAATAAATCAATAAACACTCAATATTATGCAGAAATTGAGAAATCTTACCTTGTCTTGGCACAGTGGCACAGCATGAGCAGCTATTAATCAGTTCATTAATTAATAGATAATAGATTCATAGAATGGAATTAGAAGGGTGACCTCCTACTTTGAAAGAGCAGGAATGTTGGCTGTTCACTTGACCAGGCATTCTACATTTAATCCCACCCACATTTGAACATAGAAATACGTGAAAACAAACCGTTTTCACGTTCCCAATTTTCACGTTCCCAATTGCTCCGTTTTAACTCGGGAAACAAACGATCAAAAAGTACATGTTGTCCACTAAATAGGCTTATTATCTTCACCGCTGTAACAACATAGACACCTAAATGTACTGCCAATCCTCAAAATCAACATAATTCCCGAACTTTGGCTGTTGTTAAATCGCGTGCAGTATCACACAAGTTCTTTATCGCTTGACTGTCATTCAGAAAATCCTTTCCTGAATCAGCTGATGTTGCACGATAATGTCCCCATGTAACTAAACAGCTAGACATCAAACAACTATTATGTGTAATTATTGAAGAACCCCATTAACCCCGTTGGATTTTGCAATCATATACATTTTTTTGGATATGTGTGCCCATGAAAACTGTTTTCACACGTTAACATAGGGAGATAAGAAATGTTACAAGGTTACAGTACACTTCCAAGATCCCCATACAAAAAAAAGAGTCCGAAAGCAATATCCAGGAATTTCACAGGATCAAGGTCAATGTGTAATTAAATTGAAGAAAAAAAAGCCACAGTATTATTAATGACTTTGTAACATTGTGCTACATTGGATCACATTGTACAAGTTCAGCAAGCTTTTGTATCAAAATCAAGTTGCCAATCCTAAACGCTACAAAATGGCAGCTGCTCTTATTATACCTCAGTGGTCCGAGCCACTGTATGGCCGACTTTACATTAGTCAATCGGCGCTAAATTACCTATGGAAGAATATGAAAATGTTCACACCATCAGTGCAGACATTATCACAGAGTGATCATTCCCCACGCATACTCATTTGTTTACATTAGTAAGTTGGGTTTTTTTTTTTTACCGGAAAGACCTCTGGGCCACTATTTTCTTTGACGCGGTGAATTGTGGGCAGTCATTGGTCCTCGGACCGTCCTGTCAGAGACAGAAGAGGAAGCGAGACACCCAACTTGCTGTATTTTTCTTGTTCAATGAAAGTCAATGAACTAAGTAGACCCGACCAGTCCCAGCTGCTATTGCATTGGAGTCTATGAGAGACGCACCCAGTTAAGTAGACCGGAACTGACAAAACATTTCAATGGTAAACGGCTTGTGTGAACTATCTTCATTTATCCACCATCTTTGTTACTGTCTGCTTCTCTTCCATTGGAAAAGATGGCTGCCTCGGCAGCATCGGCGGGTTCTACCCCCGGTTTTTGCCCAAGCTACGCCGTGATATGCTCTTTTTTAGAGCGGTATGGAGCCTTGCTGGATCTACCGGAGCTTACATTTCCACAGTTGGAGCGATATCTCCAAGACACAACCTCAGGTATAGTTTGAAAAGCGCGAGCTACTGTGGGGAGATGCGACTCCACATTGCATAGTGTTCTGTGTCGTTCGTACTAGTTGTGTTATTGTGTGGTTTCCAAACATAACGCATTTTATATACGTTTATTGTTGTCCCAGATGTATTGTTAGGATCCAGGGTGAAGTAGATGCATTGTTTAACCGTGAACTGATCGAAGATCGAAGGGCTTCGGTGAAATTTGGGGGCTTTAAATTATATCATTTATTTTCCAGCCAAGCCAGCCGTTATCTGCCAGGGACTGAAATGCACTTAATCACATAGCCTACTGAAAATGTTGTACTTTGAACTTTTGCACTGAGGTGATCTGTTTTTAACATTTATTAAAGTATATTGGGCAGTCCTATTATTCGGTTTATGACTGAGTATGTTGCGATAATGACAACATTGTCCATTGTGTTTACAGTTAAGTAATGTTTTGGTATAGTGGTTCGCTCGCGCTGTATTGCGCATGCGCACGTTCATCTTCAGGGCTTCTTGCTCACTGGTGTCCCCATGTAAGTCTGCTTCATTCAAACTATTTTGGCGGATTCTGGTTGTTTGTATCACACATACTACATTGTTATTCCATACTTCCATATTATTGTATTTGTAATGATATTATTACGTTATTTGTTTATTGTTAGGAAATGAGGAAATGTCTAATTTAATGCATTGTTCTAGTTTTAATAAATTAAACCATATTGCATTATGCACGCCTTTAATTTTGGTATTGTACACTGCCCCAGTGTCTCCACTTCAGTGATGTATGACTTGTCTCCTCTCTAACGCCCAGGAAGTTCCAATTCAAACTCCCATTAGACAGCTCTGTAAGCGTTATAATGTCAAAATACGTTCGTTACTCAGCAAATATGGAGTTTCGCTGAGCAACCATCTTCATTTACTTCTGCTACAGCCGGTATGTACTTCCAAAAAAGGTTTAAATAAAAATGTACAACCCATCGAAATAAATGCATATTCGGCAACTCCAATCCAATTTGTAAGTCGCTCTGGATAAGAGCGTCTGCTAAATGACGTAAATGTAATTACTGGCATTACTGCCACGCACAGGTCGGAAGTCTACAACAGCTCATAGAGGTGTCCAAGATGTAAATGTTTATTTAGACCTTTTTTGGAAGTACATACCGGCCATAACAGGAGTAAATAAAGATAGTTGCTCAGCGACATTATATATTTGGTGAGTAACTAACGTATTTTGAATTTTGACATTATAAGGCTTGCAGAGCAGCAGTGGCGGCTCCTGAAAAAATTCTCAGGGGGGGCAATTTTTCTGATGATTTAGGTGACCTACACACATTTAAAAAAAGATATGTCCAGCAACAACATGAAGACAGGGGCAGCATATAAGTCAATACTGATATACACATTACTTGCTTCAAAAAGGCCTCATGGTTGAATTGGAAATATGTGCACCTGAGCATAATTCACAACAAGCAAGCAGGAGCTTTTGATAGAGGCTACTGAAAACATTGATGCAAGTTATTGGTAATAGGAAATGTTTATACACTTCCATATTCTGCCCTCTTGTATAGATTTGTGAAAATGAACAGTGATAGACATTTTGCCTGAAAACAGAATTTGAAAATAATTTCTAGAAAAGGTAAACACAGCTATCTGTATGGCTTTGTAAAAATGAACAACCATATTCTGGCCAATTGTATAGATTTGTAAATATGAACAACCATATTCTGGCCAATTGTATAGATTTGTAAAAAAAAAGTTTTACTTTTTTTTTTATGAAAAATAACTATTTTAAACAACATCAACTGTGAACTGATTTGGGCGTGTGTGTGTTAAAGAGACAGACAGGGAGGGACAAAGAGAGAGAGAGGCTACATTACTTGTACTGAAACTGTTCTCTTCTCTCTTTCAATGCAGCAAAGCGGTCAATGACTTTCTCATTGAAATCAGGCATAAAATTCAGCTGATGCACATAGCAATGCACGTAATGGGCATTCTTGAAATGCTCACGTACCTTTTGCTGCACACCAGCCTTCTCTCCCCTCATCACACTGGCTCCATCGTAAGCTTGCGCAATGAGTTTGACTCTCAGTTTCAGTCTCTCCAAAAGCACACTGGCGATTGAGACTGAGGTTGATTCCGAGATGGGAAGGAACTCAAAAAAGCGCTCCTGCACTCTGTGGTTGCTATCTATGTACCTCAGCACCAGCTGTGTATGTGTAGAAACGTCCGTGGTCTCGTCAGCTTGGATAGCTACGAAGTTCGCAGACTTCACCTCCTCCACAATATGTTCCCTCATGACCGCTAGCATACACTCCAGTAGCTCGTTTTGAATAGTCTTTGATGTGAACTTCTTTCAAAGAGACAATCGAGTTGCACTGAACGCTATAGCCATCTTGATAGTAGTACGTGAATTGATTGACGCTGCTACCCGCTCTTTTCTTAGTTACGTTCATGGTTATGTTACGTATGACGAAAGCGCGTAAGTGCAAGCCCTCAGAAACCCATAGAGATTGTATTGAAAGCTCTGATATTTGAAAAAAAAAGATTTTACATGAGAGGCTATGAGAGACTTCTGGGCGATTTTCAACCTGACTGAAATCGCCCCAAAACGGGCGGGGCCATTTGAAGCACGACTTTAGCCTGATTGGACATTTAGTGGCAGATCAGACGTCTAGATTAGAACACTGATAACTACTGTTGCCGTGATATAATTGATTAGAAAAAAAATCCCTTGCTTTTCCCGTTTGGCAGTGCGTCGCCCATATCGCCCTAATGAACACACCGCCCCTGCAGAGCAGTCGAATCAGAGCTTCCTGGGCCTTAGAGAGGAAACACCTTATACTCATTGTCGACATCTCTAACGCACAGATACTGGGGCAACCTTGCACAGGAGTTTATTTAATATGTGAAGAAATGTTTATTTTGTTATTGCCCACAGTCATCAAAACCTATTTTAATTCCTTTGTCTCCATTTGATAATAACTAATGCAAAAGTAATTAATTTTAAGTGCTCATAGTGGACCAATACCTATAAATATGATCAAATGTAGTAGGATATGGATTCGTGACAGTGTGTGAGTGGGATTCATATTCAACATACACATGCTGTAGCTGCATTCGGAAAGTATTCAGACCCCTTGAGTTTTTCCACATTTTATTATGTTACAGCCTTAAAATGGATTAAATAAATAAAAATCCTCAATCTACATACAATACCCCATATTAACAAAGCGAAAACTGGTTTTTAGAAATTTTAGCAAATTGATTTAAAAACAAAAAACAGAAATACCTTATAAGTATTCAGACCCTTTGCTATGAGACTCGAAATTAAGCTCAGGTGCATCCTGTTTCCATTGATCATCCTTGAGATGTTTCTACAACTTGATTGGAGTCCACCTGTGGTAAATTCAATTGATTGGACATGATTTGGAAAGGCACACACCTGTCTAGATAAGGTCCCACAGTTGACAGTGCATGTCAGAGCAAAAACCAAGCCATGAGGTCGAAGGAATTGTCCGTAGAGCTCTGAGACAGGATTGTGTCGAGGCACAGATCTGGGGAAGGGTACCAAAACATTTCTGCAGCATTGAAGGTCCCCCAAGAACACAGTGGCCTCCATCATTCTTAAATGGAATAAGTTTGGAACGATCAAAACTCTTCCTAGAGCTGGCTTCCCAGCCAAACTGAGTAATCGGGGGAGAAGGGCCTTGAGCTGACCAAGAACCCGATGGTCACTCTGACAGAGCTCCAGAGTTTTTCTGTGGAGATGGGAGAACCTTCCAAAAGGACAACCGTCACTGCATCACTCCACCAATCAGGCCTTTATCGTAGAGTGGCCAGACGAAAGCCACTCCTTAATAGAAGGCTGAAGACAGCCCACTTGGAGTTTGCCAAAAGGCACCTAAAGACTCTTAGACCATGAGAAACAAGATTCTCTGGTCTGATGAAACCAAGATTGAACTCTTTGGCCTGAATGCCATGTGTCACATCTGGAGGAAACCTGGCACCATCCCTACGGTGAAGCATGGTGGTGGCAGCATCATGCTGTGGGGATGTTTTTCAGCGGCAGGGACTGGGAGACTAGTCAGGATCGAGTAAAAAATGAACGAAGCAAAGTACAGAGAGATCCTTGATGAAAACCTGCTCCAGAGCACTCAGGACCTCAGACTGGGGTGAAGGTTCACCTTCCAACAGGACAACGACCCTAAGCACACAGCCAAGACAATACAGCAGTGGCTTCGGAACAAGTCTCTGAATGTCCTTGAGTGGCCCGTATTTGAACCCGATCGAACATCTCTGGAGAGACCTGAAAATAGCTGTGCAGCAACGCTCCCCATCCAACCTGACAGAGCTTGAAAGGATCTGCAGAGAAGAATGGGATAAACTCCCCAAATACAGATGTGCCAAGCTTGTAGCGTCATACCCAAGAAGACTCGAGGCTGTAATCGCTGCCAAAGGTGCTTCAACAAAGTAAAGGGTCTGAATACTTATGTAAATGTGATATTTCAGTTTATTTTTAATACATTTGCAAACATTTATAAAAACCTGTTTTTGCTTTGTCATTATGGGGTATTGTGTGTGGATTGATGAGGAACTTGTTTTATTTAAACCATTTTAGAATAAGGCTGTAACGTAACAAAATGTGGAAAAAGTCAAGGGGTCTGAATAGTTTCCGAATGCACTGTATTGGCCTATACAATAGGTGATATGTGGTTGAGAAACATTGATGTTTACCAAATGGTGTCATTATCCCACCTCTCCCCTCAGTTCCAAAGCTCTTGGTGGACCTTCATGTGAAGTTGTTGAGGAAGATTGGCAAGTCGGTGTCCGCAGACAGATGGGAGAAGTACCTTGTGAAGGTAAATAGATCTCAGAACAAGGCTGGACATTTTCTGCACACTCAGATACAGTTAGGCTTAGCTTTATAGATGAATCAAATTTCAATATATTACATTTTTGTAAAATACAGGCAGTGGCATGAGTCTGGGCATTCTGAATTATGATACTGTAGAGGTTAACCAATGGCTGATGGAATGTGTTTCCTTACAGGTGTGCCATGAGTTCAACAGTACTTGGGCATGGGAACTTGAAAATAAAGGATACAAGGACATGTCTGTGGAGTGCAAGACTGGAATCCTCAAAGTAAGGTTGCAATATAGCTATACTTAAGCTAGTTCTGCATGCAAAGACATGCAACATATATTTCCAAACAAGATGCAGGTGGTAAAAATGTAAGCTGCTTTTCATGTTCTTAAATAAGGCCTATCTTCTGTATGGTACAAAAGTTAATTCTCTGAAAATAGTCGTGCCAGTGGTGGTGGGACAGAACTTGTGCACTTCACCGAAGTGTGTTGTTGTATTGCAAGTCATATTCCATAAAAAATATTACAATATATTTTGTCCATATCATGCAGCCCTACTAACGTAATTTTCCCCCCCCCAAAGGCAACATTTCAAATACTTTCTCTCTGTCTGTCCAGCACTTGTGTGAGTGCCAGTTTGATGACAATGTCAAGTTCAAGACTGCAATCAATGAGGAGGATCCCGATAAGATGCGGCTTCTCCCTATTGGCAAGGACAAGGATGGCCTGATGTACTGGTTCCAACTTGACCAGGACAACAACGTGAGGGTCTATGTGGAGGAGCAGGACGACCTGGACGGGTCCTCCTGGAAGTGCATTGTCAGGTACTGTGGAACTATTGGCCAGATGGGATTCAGGGGATGAAAGAGGCATACTGTTGTACTGCAGAGCCTAAATGTCAACAGTCTTGTATTCCAGGTGGATCATAGATTACTTGGTTCATATGTAATTTTACCAGAAGATTACTAAGTTGGAAAGAGTTATTTGAATTATCCATCTCTATGCAGAGACAGAAACAGCTTGGCTGAGATCCTGGCACTGCTGAAGACTCAAATCGACCCAGCACTGTTGACAAAGAAAGAAGGAGAGGAGGAAGATGAGGAGAAAAATAATACTCGGGGAGAAGGTAGTGTTACATCAACAAGGCTTGTTACACCAATAATGTCATATGCCATCTGTTATTTGTTGTTTACTCACAAACATTTTCATGATATTGAAAAAGCATGAGTTAAGTAATATGCCTTGAATTGGATCTACTTTGTCAAAAGTAAACAACATTTATTTCCCTGACAGATGCAGTTCTAAATCTTGTACTTTTATTTTCTATGAATATATCATTCTGTTTAACTGCAATTCCTATGTATACCTTTTCTCCTATAGGGGAAGTTAAAAAGACAGATGATACCTCAGAAGATGAAGAGGACAAGCCCTCCAAGGGTACAGCTTCCTTAGTCTCCCCAAAAACGGAGAGTACAGAAAAAGAGGAATCAAAACTAGACGTATCAGATGCCAAATCCCCATTGAATGGCCTAAAAGATGAGTTCGAGTCAAAAAGCCAATCAGAGAAGCCTATGGTGGATGACAAAGTCACCATTAACACCCAGGCCATCAAAGAAGAGCCAATGGAGGTGTCAGAATCCAAGGAGAGCACAGCCACAAGTGCTACAGAGCCTCTTGCAGAGAAACCTTGTCTGACGCCACAGACAGAACAGACAGAGGAAGCCAAGAGGAAGACTGCAAAGGAACTCCAAAGGGCGATGAAGAATGACCAGCAGGCCAAAATCCCCTTGAAAAAGAGAGAGATGAAACTTAGTGAAGATTTTGATAATAATAGTGGCAGTGGCAGTAGTATTATTGTGCGAAACCCATCTGTTGCTCCTGAAGTCGAGGAGACAAGTAAAGAGGTATCTGATGCCCAGGTGGGGACTATGGAGTGTAAAAGTGATCAAGTGAATGGTGATGCTCGGCCTGCCACAGAAAAAAGTGTCAATAATGGGTTGAGAGACTCTGCTGATGGCAAAAAACAGCAAACAAAAGCTGTTGCTGGGGAAGACCGTAAAGGATCAGAAATAAACCTGCCCCTGGACAAAGACAAGGAGAAAGGGGAGATGGCAAGCAACACTGAGGAGCCCATGGAGGTGGCCATGGCTGATGAAACTAGCCTACAGAAAATTGTTCCAGTAGAAAAGGAAAGCACTGAAGATTCAGAGGAAGTAAAAAAATCTGCCCTCAAAGAGGCTAAATCTCCGTCCCCTCTAATGACAAAGCCATTGACTTCATCTAAGAATGCAACAAGCCCACCGGAGAAGTCCTCTGATTGTAAAGAGGAACAAAAAGTCAAGGTATCCAAGTGGGATGTAAAAGTGCGTCATACAGAACACACAACATCCACATCAATAGAAACAGATAAAAACCCTTCATCTAGTAAGTCACAGAAACCAGATGAAACTCAAGGAACAGATTCATCTATTGCCTCTCAAGAGGTAAAGTCAGCTGCCTCTAAGGGAACAGATAAAACAGTTGTCAATAAGGACGGTTATTCTCTTTCTGTAGTGAAAGAGATGGAAAAACCAACCGTCACAGAAAAGCGGTCGAATCCTAAAAACCCAGAAACCTCAGTCATCGCTAAACAAACCGGGAGACCTGACCCCATTACAGAGAAACCAGACCGCTCTAAACGCACAGAGATGCCAGCAGTCATAAAAAATACAGAGAAACCACCTTCTAACAAAGAGGGTGTAGAGAAATGTGATGTTTCTAAAGATATCAAAACATCTTCTGTAATGAAAAAGACAGAGATTTCAGAGAAGAGTAAAGATGCAGAGAACTTGGCCAGCTCTAAAGAGACCAATACGTCGTCAGTCATTAAAAAGGCAGACAAACCAGTTCCCAATAAAGAAGCAGAGAAACTGGAGAGCACTAAAGAGACTGACAAATCGTCTGTCATTAAAATGACAGTGAAAGCAGAGGCATCTAAACATACAGAGAAATGTGATAACCCTAAAGACATTGAAATGTCAGCTGCCACCAAGGAGAAAACTGCTGTCAGTGCTGAGATGAAGAAAAAAGCTGTCCTGGAGAAAGACGCTGAGAAAACGGCTATCTGTAAAGATGAAATGAGAACTGTTGCTAAAGCGACTAAGACACAATCTGGCCCAAAAGATGTGGAGATGGCAGACTTCTCTGAGAAAACAACCCAGTCACAACTGGATGAACCCAAAAAGGTAGAGAAATTGGCTACCCCTAAAGATGCTGGGAAATCAGCTACCCCTAAAGACACAGAGAAATGTGCTGAATCAGCAACGCCTGAAGACGCAGAGAAATTGGCTACTCTTAAAGATGCTGTAAAATCGGCTACCCCTAAAGTTGCTGAGAAATCGGCTAAAAACACAGAGACGATCTTTAAAAAGATTGAGAAATCTTCCAGGGGACAGAAACCAGACACCTCTAAAGAAACTGAGAAACTGGCAGACACAAAGCCAGGTGCAGAAAAAGGAGAGAAACTTGTCACCTTTGAGGATGCCAAGCAATTACCCTCTCTCAAAGAGTCTGTCCCAGTGGAGGGGAAACAGGAGGAGCCTATGGAAATAAGTTCGGAAAAGTCAACCGATGACAACGTAAAGATCAAGGGACATGCTGAAAAAGGCTGGCCAAAAAAGGCTGTTAAAAGTGGAGAGAAGTGTGAGCTCAAAGACACAAAGCTCATGGACTGTGATGCACCATCAGAAAAACCGGCTGCTAGTAAGAAGGCATCATCTCTCACAGAGACTGAAGGTGAGACAGACGAAAGCCAGGACAAAGTAATCAAGGAAGATGCCACAACACAGGGATGCCCTCAAAAAGAGGATGGGAGGAAGGACGATCAGGCTAAGAAAGATGACAAAAAGGAGGATGATCAAGCCAAGAAAGATGACAAAAAGGAGGATGATGGGGCTGAGAAAGATGACAAAAATTCAACGGTAGCAGAGAAATCGGGTCAGGCAAAAGCAAGTGAAGGGTCTGAGGAAGATGAGAACAAGAACAAAGAGGATGAGGACAAGAGTGAAAAAAAGGATGCAGGGACAACATCAGAGATCCAAGAGGAGGGAATTCGCCTGAAAATACGTGGGATTACCCACCGGAGGAGAGCTGAGCTCCAGAGAGAGGAGAGGGACTCTGGGTCAGATACTGGTGAGACTGGGAGATCCCTGAGAAGGTCACCCAGGATCTGCAGGCCGACCGCTAAGGGGGTGGAGTTCCAGGACAGGAGGCTGGAGAAGAAAGAGGCCTCACCCCCTTTAGAGAAGGGTGACGATGAGGAGGAGAAAACTGTTCAAAGGAAGCCAAGAGAGAAGGTTGATCAAGATGGGCTGTACAAATCTAAGGTAAGTTCTTTCAGTAACTGCAGATATTTCTACATTCATATTACACAGGTGGATTGTGAATACATGTTTTTGGATCAACAGCATATTTTAGATCAGGGATTCACACAGTGTCAGCCTTCAGTAACTTACGTGTATGCTGTCCTACATTAGCCTTATGAAACCCAAAAGGTAGAATGTCTGTTTTTATGATTTGGCTGTCAAGATGACATCTTTTGTTTTCAGGGGCGACGGAGGAGAAAGACCCGGTGGTCCAACACTCGAACACAGAGGCGCAAAAAGAATGGTTCTGGTGAAGATGATGAAAGCGAGTGGAGCGAAGAGGAGAGCGAGGAGGACAACAGTGATGAGAGCTTTAAGGTGGAGAGGGGCAAGAGGAGGAGGAGGAACAGGAACAGAGAGAGGCACAATGACGACTCTGACACCTCCTCGGATGATGACCTCCCTCCTAACGATGACCCCTGCAAACACTGCGGCCTCCCCAACCATCCTGAGCTGGTGGGTCCTGAAAACGTGATCCCCATTTTCTCATCTCAATAAATGGCATATAGTTGTGATAATTATAATGGAATTGCCCACATGGTGGGCTGCAGGGTTGGGGTCAATTTCACTTAAATTCCAGTCAATTCAGAATGTAAATCAAATTCCAATTCCACATTTTTCTTATTTAAATGCATTGAAGATCATTTAAATTTGAATTTCAGTGTACTTCCTGAGTTTAAATGGAATTGACCCCAACCCTGGTGGGCTGTCATCATGGTTATACTATATTCATAATATGTATCTACACTGACAGATAAGACTACAATATAATGTGTTCCAGCTAATACACCTTCGTGTTCCCCTCACAGATCTTGCTGTGTGACTCGTGTGACAGCGGCTACCACACGGCCTGCCTCAGACCCCCTGTCATGATCATCCCAGACGGGGAGTGGTTCTGTCCACCCTGCCAACATGTAAGTAACCACCAGATAGTAAACAATTGGTAGTTGCACTACAGTTTGGATGCTAGCCACGTTACTGTGTTTTAAACGAATGGCTTGCTTTATATGTGTGGTATTATTTGTCATTCTTACCCCTCTCTCCTCGTGATCCCTGCAGAAGCTGCTCTGTGACAAGCTTGAGGAGCAGCTTACTAATCTCGATGCTTCCCTGAAAAAGAGGGAGCGCGCTGAGCGACGGTATCAACCTCTGAACCATGACCCTTGGTGTAAAACAGCAAATGACAACAGGAAGATAATGTAGCTCATAAAAAGTTGTTTTAAATTATTGTATTTTCTCCCTCCAGAAAAGAGCGGTTGGTCTATGTTGGAATCAGTGTTGAAAACATCATCACTCCCTCGGTAGGCAGCATTTGGTTGCTATGGTTATACCATCATGAAAGTCAATTGCAACACATCCAGAATTGTGTTTGTAGGACATCTGTGTAAGATGGTCTGTCACACTGTTCACTGCCTAGTCTAGATTGATGTTTGCTTCCTATATTGTACTGTGAACTGACACATTGCCAACTCTCATTTTCAGTTGGAGGTAGAGGAAGAAAAGGAGGAAGAGGTGGTGAAGAAGGAGAAGAAAGAGAAGAAAGAGAGAACCAAGAGCTGGGGTCGAAGGTCGACAAGGGCAAAGAAAAGCATAAGCTACAGGTATGACGTCTGTACTAAACTCATGGTTATCAGAACATTGTACAGTGAGGGAAAAAAGTATTTGATCCCCTGTTGATTTTGTACGTTTGCCCACTGACAAAGAAATGATCAGTCTATAATTTTAATGGTAGGTTTATTTGAACACTGAGAGACAGAATAACAACAAAAAAATCCAGAAAAACGCATGTCAAAAATGTTATACAATGATTTGCATTTTAATGAGGGAAATAAGTATTTGACCCCCTCTCAATCAGAAAGATTTCTGGCTCCCAGGTGTCTTTTATACAGGTAACGAGCTGAGATTAGGTGCACACTCTTAAAGGGAGTGCTCCTAATCTCAGTTTATTACCTGTATAAAAGACACCTGTCCACAGAAGCAATCAATCAATCAGATTCCAAACTCTCCACCATGGCCAAGACCAAAGAGCTCTCCAAGGATGTCAGGGACAAGATTGCAGACCTACAAAAGGCTGGAATGGGCTACAAGACCATCGCCAAGCAGCTTGGTGAGAAGGTGACAACAGTTGGTGCGATTATTCGCAAATGGAAGAAACACAACAGAACTGTTAATCTCCCTCGGCCTGGTGCTCCATGCATGATCTCACCTCGTGGAGTTGCAATGATCATGAGAACGGTGAGGAATCAGCCCAGAACTACACGGGAGGATCTTGTTAATGATCTCAAGGCAGTTGGGACCATAGTCACCAAGAAAACAATTGGTAACACACTACGCCGTAAAGGACTGAAATCCTGCAGCGCCCGCAAGGTCCCCCTGCTCAAGAAAGCACATATACAGGGCCGTCTGAAGTTTGCCAATGAACATCTGAATGATTCAGAGGAGAACTGGGTGAAAGTGTTGTGGTCAGATGAGACCAAAATCGAGCTCTTTGGCATCAACTCAACTCGCCGTGTTTGGAGAAGGAGGAATGCTGCCTATGACCCCAAGAACACCATCCCCACCATCAAACATGGAGGTGGAAACATTATGCTTTGGGGGGGGGGTTCTACTAAGGGGACAGGACAACTTCACCGCATCAAAGGGACGATGGACGGGGCCATGTACCGTCAAATCTTGGGTGAGAACCTCCTTCCCTCAGCCAGGGCATTGAAAATGGGTCGTGGATGGGTATTCCAGCATGACAATGACCCAAAACACACGGCCAAGGCAACAAAGGAGTGGCTCAAGAAGAAGCACATTAAGGTCCTGGAGTGGCCTAGCCAGTCTCCAGACCTTAATCCCATAGAAAATCTGTGGAGGGAACTGAATGTTCGAGTTGCCAAACGTCAGCCTCGAAACCTTTATGACTTGGAGAAGATCTGCAAAGAGGAGTGGGACAAAATCCCTCCTGAGATGTGTGCAAACCTGGTGGCCAACTACAATAAACGTCTGACCTCTGTGATTGCCAACAAGGGTTTTGCCACCAAGTACTAAGTCATGTTTTGCAGAGGGGTCAAATACTTATTTCCCTCATAAAAATGCAAATCAATTAATAACATTTTTGACATGCATTTTTCTGGATTTTATTGTTGTTATTCTGTCTCTCACTGTTCAAATAAACCTACCATTAAAATTATAGACTGATCATGTCTTTGTCAGTGGGCAAACGTACAAAATCAGCAGGGGATCAAATACTTTTTTCCCTCACTGTATGTGTGTGTGGCTGGTCTTTATTTATTGTTTCAGTATGGTGGCTGATAAATTCCCTGAATAATTTCAAAGTCTTGTTTGCAGGTTTGATGAATTTGATGAGGCTATTGAGGAGGCAATTGAAGAAGACATCAGAGAGGCTGATGGTGGAGGTAGGAAGACATTATGGAATATGGCAACAAAGTCCCAGAATTATGAATTTCATTCAATAGTTTATGCCGCGTCTCTTAGTTTTATTGATGTTCTGAAATTATTTTTGGCTGCATCATTTCATCTGTGCAACCATGGTGTTTGCGCAGATGCCCTAATAATTGTGCACTCCTTTAATAAGGTTACGAAGAGTCAAGTCTGAGGCTGCATTTCATCCTAAGATAGATGTTCCCTCCTCTCTGCCCTCATATCCATATCCACTCCTATCAGATCTGTCAAGAAGAGTAAAGGAGGGATTTTCCCTGAATGAAATGCAGCCTCAGAGCCTTTTTAACTCATGTAGCCTGCAAACAATCTTTGTGTTCCTGTTTGATTGGGTCTAAACATTAACGTGTGTTACCCTCTACAGGAGCTGGTCGAGGCAAGGATATGGCCAACATCACATGCCATAGCAGAGGGAAGGACATGTCCACCATCCTGGCAGCAGGAGAGGGTGGCGAGGGCAAGGAGAACGGGCGCCCGCCGCGGCCCAATGCCGGCCAGCGCAGGAAGAAGCGTCGGCGTCTCAACGACCTGGACAGCGACAGCACTGTGGAGGAGGAGGAGAGCGAGGACGAGTTCCGTCTCAGTGACAGGTAGGTTCATTAGGGAAGTGGGAGGTAGGGGTTCATAAATCAGAACAGGGAGGACAAGGTTGTGTTCATAGGGCACCAAATGGAAGACAACGGACTGAAACGCGGAGGGACTACCTGGACTTTTTCGTTTTCCACTGCAAAACTTTTTTAAACGTTTCCCATTTTGTGCCATAATGAACACAAGCCAAGGTTCCACTTCATTGACAGCTATTACAGCCACAAAGGTGTGACACAAAGGGGTGTTGTTGAATTAATTTGTCACTCATTCTTCTCTCTGTTTTTTCTCTCTCTCCACTGCACACCTTTTCGTGTAGTACGGAGGAAGAGGAGTTTGTGGCGTCGGACAAGAGCGACGCAGAGAGCGAAGCGGCAGTCGTCTCCAACGACGACAGCGACTTCGGCAGCACACAACGCAGAACCGCCAGAACAAGGAGGCCGGCCAAACGTCAGAGGAGCACTCAGCCGCGACGGCGCCGCAGACCGCGAGGGTACTCAGACGATGAAGAGGAGACGAGTGAGGAAGATGAGGAAGAAATGGGTACATTGGCATCGTCATTTCCTCTGTGGTTTGAAGGGACATTACACTCCAGAATCAAACTTTGTTCGATGTTTTCAGATCTCAAAAGTGGTCTTCTCTTGAGACAAGTTCCAGGCTATCTGTTTTGTAGATTAAGCTTTATGCCATAATCCAAAATGAATAAATAAGAGCGTCTGCTAAATGACTAAAATGTAAATGTAAATGAATTGAAAAGGTCCTGATTTGTAGCGCTTATCAGTTCCATTCATTTGGGGTTGAGGCCTTCAGTACACTGGTTAGACACAGCCAATTGTGTGGGGGACGTGGATCCATCTTTAGATTTTAAGGTCTGAAAACATCTGCCATAATGACATTTGGAGTGTTGATTTTGTAATTGTCCTTTTAAAAACCAATAGGTATGTGGTGGCATCCCTGTGATGTGGCTCTCTTTCTGTGTTGACCTGTGTAACTAGTGTCAGAGGGCTCCAGCGAGTTTAGCGACAGCGACCTGGACTGTAGCCGACGCCGATCCCGCCGAAGTCAGACGAAGAAGCAGGTCAACTACTGCGAGTCGTCCGGCGACTCCGACGGCTCCAAGGCCAACACAAACCGCGACAAAGTCAAACCGCGGCGGCGCCTCGCCAGTTCAGACAGCGAAGGTCAGCCAGACGTTTTTTTCTAAACATGTACTCTTTGCCTCATCGACACCGCCATTAGCGTAGGTTCTCTGTAGGATGTGTGTCAACTGTAGTTAGTTGGCTCATTAATTTGTTTCTTTAACGTGTCCTCACTTGCTGTTACTTTAACTGATATTAACAATATGGTTTTAGCTAACGTCCTCTGTTTCCATGTGCCTGGTTCTTTCAGCGAGCTCCTCCAGAGGCTCAGACGACAGCGAGAGGACTAGGTTGAAGAGGAGGGCCGACTCATCCGAGAAAGAGTCCCAGCAGCACCGCAGACGGCTCTCGCTGAAACGGCGGCGAGCCTCCGAGGAGGACGATGACGACCACGATTCCGATGAATCATCGGAGGGAGAACGTCCGGTCCGCAAGCGTGTGAACCGCATCGACTCGGATGACTCTGACAAGGAGGAGGAGAAGGAGAAGAAAGAAACCAAGGAAGAGGAGGAAGGGGGGGTGCTGGGGAAGGGAGCCAGCCCGTTGGACTACAGCCTGGTGGAGCTGCACCCCCCCACCAACGGACAGAGTCCCATCAAGGCCCTGGAGGGCCTGGCTCACATTGGGCCCCAAAAGCCTGGGGCCACAGCTGTCGCCATAGCGCCCAACGGACTGGAGTTGGCACCACAGGATGATGATGAGGATGACCTGCTGGGGGTCACAGACCTGGTGGACTTTGTCTGCAACAGTGATATGTTGTAAAACCCAAGCTGTATGTTTGTTATTTTCTGTAGTATTGTATTTTTTGATATGTTGTTTTTCTTCTGTCCTTTTTTTATTTTATTTGTATTCATCCTCCTCGTCCCCTCATCAGTATGACCACATCCATCTGTATGAACTGGATGCCTTACGTGGGGAAAGTTCATTGTCTTCACTCTTAGCACCTCTCGCAGTGGGATTGTACAGTCATTGAGAGCACTAACCCACAGGTTGTTAAGTGGCATGTGACTTTGCATTGCATTGCATTGTCTTATCCTCTGTACTCGGTCACCGATGGACATGCGGGTCAGATACTTGACCGTAAATGACACACAAATGAACCTACCTGTTTCTCCAGCCAACTTCCAGGGTTGTCTACTCAGGGGTCCATCCACTACCCCATGCAATCCCCCATACAAAGAGTCCATCCCCCAACTTCATGGTTGTGTTCATTAGGCCCCAAAAGGAAGAAAACAGACAGAAACAGAGAGGAACTACCTTGCCTTGTCCAATAAGAAACGCTAATTTTCCGTTGTGTGACCTAATGAACATGACCCATGACCTCTGTTCTCCTGAGAGGCACCTCTCATAGTGTTCCTGCCTGGGAAAGAGGAGGTTGTATTGTATGATATTAATTCCTTGTTAGTTGGTCTTTGTAGGATGTAGATGTGTTTGGTTTTGTCTATATACCATTGCCACTCGTATGAGTTCAACATTGTTATGAGAATAGAAGATGGCAGAGGTCAGGGGTCAAACTGCATTCCATTAACGACTTAAATTAACATAGTTTTGTGGATCAACTGCTGGAAACCAATCGTTGTTTTGATCCCCCTGCTCTTTACCCCAAACTTTTAATATGAACGTCTTTCACTTTTTGATATTTGAATTCCATATTTTAATCCTCCTACATCGATCAAACTATTTATTCTTTGTTTTGATGTGTTCAATTCTATTAGTCAGTAGTTTGATAAGCTAAACCATTACACAGGTTTCCCACTTTCTTTTTTGGTCCATTTACAACAAGCACTGAATGAAAAAGCATGAGCACAACAGAGTTTAAGTCAGAATTCCCATGGGAAAACGGGACACAGAACCATCATCATTATCATGCTAGAAACAGCTTTTTTTAACTGACAGACTGGGAGACCAGACCCACAACCGATCCCATACTTTCTAGAAAATACAATCTCCAAAGAGTATTTCTCATGGATTTGGTCAATTGTTTTTACCCAAAGTATTGAAACGTTGTACTGGCACCTATATCCAGTTCTTTTTTTTTTTTTATCAATCGTTCCCATCATGTGGTATTTTGACTGTTTTTAATTAATTATTGATACGAAACACTATCAAGGCAACTAGCTCCTCAGTGCATCACGCCAAATTACAGGTGTCATTTAATCAACATTAAAATCTGTTAACTACCACCACATTGACAAGACTTTCCTTTAAATGGAGATTTGATGTCACCGACTGGAGTAGACCAACCCTGATCTTCTCACCTCTGTGTGCACATGAACCTGTTTCTAAAAACCCTAGTTTAGTTTTTGTATACTGTACACACATATAAATATAATTTTAGTGTGTGCTGTCAACACTATCAATGGATTAAATGCCCATGTTTTAGACTAATTTTGTAATATTGTTGTGTGGAATCACTGAGTATTTACAGAAAATTCTGCCAACTTTCTCTGTCCCTCCCAATAACCATGTCAGCATTTTAACCATTATTTTACGTACGTTGTGTTTTTATAATGTATTTCTTTGTATATTAAATCCTCCTCCTCTATTATCGTTTTCCTCCCTAGCAAACCATCAAGTGGCATACTGTTTCCTATGTACCTTCTTGTCAATACTGTGTGTAGGTTCAAAACCTTGAAGTAAAGGTACTTACTGAGTACACCTAACTACCTGCCGTTGTTCATCAAGACTATTATTTAGAAGTATATATATATTTTTATGGCCCCTGGTCTTTTTGTAACTCTCTGCCACCACCAGTGTTTATTGTAGAGAACACTACTCTTGCGCTAGTCTCCCCTCTACATTTTACTGCATCAACTGGAGACTAAATAAACGTCTCCGATCTCAAAGGCCTATCCTTTGTCTGTTCTCATATGAGTTCATTTTGGTTTTAGGGTTCCATTTTGAGGTCAGGTTAAATCACTGCCTTTCTGGGCCCATTTTCAAAAAGTGTCTCAGAGTAGGAGTGCTGTCCATATAATATTATTCATTATGATCTAAAAGGCAAAACAGATCCTATATCAGCACTCCTACTCTGAGACTGTGAATACAGGCCCTGGCCTCGAATCAAAATAATATTATGAATAAACGGCGCACTGGATTCATCTTTATATTAGGGAATGATATACCAGAATGCAACTTGTTTGGGGAAATGGTCCAGACCATAAATTGACCTCTAATGTATATATCTGTAGTTTTTGCTGTAATATATATTTAGAGGCATCTTTCTTTTATCATGGAAATAAATATATTTGATTGCGTCTGTTTATAATAGTTTTCCTTGTAGAGGGGTCGTGATATTGGCACAACTGTTTTGTAATGAATTCATTGGATATCTGGCATGTTTGTTGGATGTTATTTTGTTATGTGCAGATGTGTTGGCCACCTTAAGGATTTGCCAGGTTCAATAACCACAGACCTCTAAACTCCTTTGCTCAGCAGTGTTCCTTGTGTCCTGCTACTGAACAGGAGAGCATGAACCAACCACTGGAGGCACAGACTATACCTGGCAGGACTGATGAGTTGTGTTCCGTAGGCATACAATTGTAGAAAACAGAGTGAAATGGGGAGATACTAACTGAACTTGTCCAATATGAAAAGCTTGTTTTCATTTTCAGTTGTGCCCCAATGTACATGACCCTGGACACAAACAAAGGTGGCCATCGTCAGAATCATGGGAAAGGTTCAAGATAAATGCGCTCAAATTAAGAAATGAAGCCTGTTTGTAAATTTGTCTTTTGTGAAATAGTGTTGGCATGTGTTCATCACCGATGGTAAACGTATCTTATTATTCTTGGTTAATCACACAATGTGTTTAATACTTCAAACTATGAAGGAAGATTTCCAAGGCAAATTACAAATAATTTCTGAGCTGCCTGCAATGCACTCAACTAACATGGTAATATTGACTACAGTTACCGCACCATTAGTTTGACTGCCCCAAAGCTTCTACTGGCAGTTCCATTGTGGGAATCCGATGCAAATGACTAGGGTTAGTTTACCATCGTTTTGGGATGAAGAAATGTATGATTTCTGATGTAATGTTCTCAAGAGATTACGTTTACAGCTGTATTTCATGAGTATGACATGGTGGGCCTACTTCATTTTAAATGACAAATCTGTTGTAGCAAATTATCATAAAAAGGTAGGAGTACACTAGTTGGGAGGGGCAGTTTCAGTCAGACACACAGGCAGTCCTCTGCCAGGGGGAAGTTGGTGCAAATGATTCAAAAGTGTTTGTTCATTAATATCGTTTATTACAGGTAAAATTGGAAGACTGGGGAGACAACTATACTGTAGGTCTGGCGTATGAACATTAGCTTGTAGATTGGTTGTCTATGTTTTGTCTGTTCCTCTTCAATACCTTTTTATTATTTAATTTTACTATTTTCTTTCATAATAATACAATCTTGTACATTTGTCATAATAAAAAGCTTTTTAAACAGGGTATGGTAGGCCTACTTGTTTTCTGTCTCTTGAAAAGGGGAGAGGACAGCATGATGGTGTGAAATATTGATCAAATCAGCTTTCTGACTAATTAATGCAGGCATATCCACTTGAGAACATCTGGAGAAAGTGTCTAGGGGGCATGTTTCCTTAAAGATGCATTCATGGAAGTTTAGTTGCTATAGTTTTTTTCAGAAATGTTTACTTGCATGTTTGTTGTATGGTTTATTTACACAATGTCTTAACTCATGAAGCCAATATTTTAGGCCGTTTTTTTTTTGGCTAATGGGTGTGGAGAGGTGTGCCCCTTTCATTAGGTAATTTCTGGAAAATACTTTATTTTAGGTGGCCTTCTGGCTCAAGAGCACCCCTAGTTGTTAAAGTTCCGTATAGCTTCTTTGCGAATTTGTTTTGCATGGCCCGGTACCCCGGTTGGATGGATATTTCATTTACGTCCCAATGGAATGGTCTACAAGAAGCAAACTACGCACACCCGGAGCACCGTGCCTTTTTAAACGAACTCGCCCACGTTATAACCAACGAAATTACAGCACTCAGAGGATAAATCTACTGCCCCGCCCAAATCTCAATTAGACTACGCTCCGCCAACTGCAGAAACTGGTGTGGAAAGCAGTTAGTTTGGAGTAAAACAACCCTCGGAAAGGAGGCTGAAAAATACTTTCAAAACACAGTAAGGCAAACAAAGGAGCGCAGTGTCATTCTCGTAATCGAATTGTCCAGGTAACTTCCAAATTCTCCCGACATCATACATCTTTCGTTTATGTCTGCAGCCAGGTGGAAATTATCCTATCAGTATGTTTAATTCACTTCAGGCGGGTTGGGGGGATAGAGAAGGCACGATGGTGTCTCTGAAAAACGTATCTCCTCCAAGTGAAGGAATACGGCACGAGCAAGGTGAAATCACCGCTATTTGGAATGGCGAGGGGCTTGGACCAGGGACTCTGTACATTGCAGAAACGTGAGATTTTTAAAATTTTATCAAGAAACTGCGAGATTTGATTGAAATCGACTAGTATGTGTTTGACAAAGGCCTTTCCTCATCTTGCCAAACTCACGTGCGTAACATTTATTTTTCATTAACTATTTTTGGCATTCATCTCTCTCAGATGTGTATCATGGTTCGATGGGTCTGGAATGGGCTTTTCTTTGGAATACCGGTCAATCAGCCTCCACGCAATCTCGCGGGACCTTACCGCGTACCCGAAAGAGCACCTGTACGTCATGGTCAACACCAAACTCAAAGGTGAGGTTTCTCAAAGATTCTTTGTCTTTCTCTCAAGTCCAGTGTATTCAGAATAGTCTCACTTTCCGAAGTGCAATGAGACCATATCATTTTGAAGCGAGCGGAAAGTTATAAAAAGTTGAGCCTGTACATAGACCTAATTATTGTCTAATATTATGCACGAAAAGGTTGCTTCGACATAAGCGGTTTCTCACAGCATGCCAACCCAAAGACCGCATTGTAGCCTAACGTTACATTTTGTACTAACAAAGTAAGGGTGTATTCATTATTCGGATTCCGTTTCAAAACGTTTTGCAACAAACCCTTTACTCCAAAAAAGTTTAGCAATGAAAGAGTTTCTATCGGACAAATTCAGGAAGGGCCCTCAGTTTTTTTCTGTTTGGTTCCTAAAGTAAAATGTAACCGGTTTCCATAGCAAAAGATTTTGCAACAGACAACGTTTTGCAATCTGGCTAATACATCCTTGGCATGCCTCCTGTCCAGCCTGGTCTCATAGACTAGACGTAACATAGTAAACGTAAATCCGGGATACTGAAATTAGTATGGTATGTTAGGTTTGGTATGGTTACATAAGACAGATTGGTTACTTATGCAGAAATGAAAAGTAGGGTGTTTGGATGGGTGGGCGTATAATGCAAATGCCTAGCAACCCAAAGGTTGCGAATTCGAATCTTAACATGGACAACTTTAGAATTTTAGCTAATTAGCAACTTTTTAACTACTTGCTACTTTGCAACTACTTAGCATGTTAGCTAACCTTAACCCTTTTAGCGAACCCTTCCCCTAACCTAACTCCTAAACTTAACCCTAACCTTAATAATAATGCCTAGCTAACGTTATCCAGCTAGCTAGAATTCGTAACATATCAAACATTTAGAAAATTTGTAAAATATTTTACATTTAACAAATTCATAACATATAATACGGATTGTAATTCGTAACATATCATACGAAATGGCAGATGAACAACCACAAATGAATACATACCATACGAAATGTATCATATCATACTAAACGGAGTCCCTCGGATTTACGTAAAGAATAATACAGAAAACTCTGAGACAGGTTGTCCTGTCAGGAACAGCCACCATTCATCCCACACATACTCACCCGCTGCTGAATGGCCGTTTTTACCCCCTAGAGAGGCTCATTGTCGTATTGCGGATGGGCGAGCTGCCAGTCACGGTTGCTCGGACATCCAATGCTCTCGAGAGCTTGTTTACAGCTGAGTTGCTGCAGAGACTAAACAATAAGCAGTGTTTTTGCTTCATGTCTTAGGTCATGCCAAGGTCATTAGACTTAACTTGCTCGCTTATGCCTATTCGTTTTGCCAATTGTTGCATTGTCGAAGGAACCTGCAAGTAAGCATTTAGTTGGATTGTGTATCCTGTACATACGACTAATAAAATGGCAAACTTGAAATTGTACTTTGTCATTTTATTAATGCCAGTTAACAGTTATTGTAGTGCTCTTAGATTCACCTTCACACTTTTTTGGTAGGAAAGGTGGTTTAAAATGTTAAATAAAATATTGTTCCATTTGCACATTGGACACTTGGTTGTATAGGTAGTGAAAAATCAAAATGAAAGTCAACTTTCTGTCAATTTTTCTTTGAGTTAAGCTTTGTGGGGCTTTCATTCCTTTTATGGAAAGGAAAGAGCTGACATCCTTTGGGAGAGGAGGGTTTTCCTTAGCCCAGGTTCTAGACCAAGTGGAACTCGGGTCTAGTTGTATTACATATACCCACCTTGCGAGTTACTTCCCGACCTGTGACCGTGCCTGTTTGGGGACACTTTTCCCAAGTCCGAAGGTATATCCGTAATCTGTATACAGTTCTGATTGAAAAAGGCGTCCTGTGCATTGCCGAGTAGGCAAGACTTGTCTGACATCTGAGTGTTTTTCTGCTGTACTGTGTCAGTGGAGGCTCCTCAGAGGAAGGGGAGGACCATCCTACTCAGTAAATTTCAGAAAAATTTAAATAGTTAAGCAAAGTTATCCTTTTTAGATAAAACTATACTAAATATATTCACTTGTCACCAAATAACTGATTTAAACACTGTTTTGCAGTGGTCTACAGTAGCCTCAACAGCACCCTCTTGGGGTAGCACCATGGTGTAGCCGGAGGACAGCTAGTTTCTGTCTTCCGCTGGGTACATTGACTTCAATACAAAACCTTGGAGGCTCATGTTTCTCAACCCCTTCCATAGACTTATACAGTAATAATGACGACTTCCGAAGGATGTTGCCCAACCTCCGCTCTTGCAGTATGAACTGACATGTTGTCCATCCAATCAAAGGATCAGAGAATTAATATACACTACCGGTCAAAAGTTTTAGAACACCTACTCATTCAAGGGTTTTTCTTTATTTTTACTATTTTCTACATTGTAGAATAATAGTGAAGACATCAAAACTATGAAATAACACATATGGAATCATGTAGTAACCCAAAAAGTGTTAAACAAATCAAAATATATTTTATATTTGAGATTCTTCAAATAGCCACCCTTTGCCTTGAGAGCTTTGCACACACTTTTATAACTGTTTGGAATAATGATTGCACCCAAGATCAGCTAGATGCAGGCAAGAGTGTGCAAGGCGGTATCGAATATGTCACCTTGATTACTCAAATGTGTCTCTCGACCTGTGCACATGTTAAACTTTCATTTGTAGGCTAGGTTGTAGCACCGTCACCGGCTTCATAAGGAAATGTGTGGGCGACGTTGTCCCTACAGTGACGGTTCGCTGCTTCCCCAATCAAAAGTCCTGGATTAACACGGAGGATCAAATCAAAATGTATTTGCCACATGGGCCGAATACAGCAGGTCTAGACCTTACAGTGAAATGCTTACTTACAAGCCCTTAACCAACAATGCAGTTTTAAGAAAATAAAAGTGTTAAGTAAAACATAAAAATAGCAAATAATTAAAGAGCAGCAGTAAAATAAAATAACAGTAGAGAGGCTATACAGGGGGTACCGGTACAGTGTCATTGTGCGGGGGCACCGGTTAGTCGAGGTAATTGAGGTAATATGTACATGTGGGTAGAGTTAAAGTGACTATGCATAGATAATAAACAGAGTAGCAGCAGCGTAAAAGAGAAGGTGGGGTGGGGGGGCAATGCAAAAAGTCTGGGTAGCTATGATTAGCTGTTCAGGAGTCTTATGGCTTGGGTAGAAGCTGTTACGAAGCCTTTTGGACCTAGATTTGGCGCTCCGGTACCGCTTGCCATGCGGTAGCAGAGAGAACAGTCTATGACTAGGGTGGCTGGAGTCTTTGACCATTTTTAGGGCCTTCCTTTGACACCGCCTGGTATAGAGGTCCTGGATGGCAGGAAGCTTGGCCCCAGTGATGTACTGGGCCATACACACTACCCTCTGTAGTGCCTTGCGGTCGGAGGCCGAGCAGTTGCCATACCAGGCGGTGATGCAACCAGTCAGGATGCTCTCGATGGTGCAGCTGTAGAACCTTTTGAGGACCCATGCCAAATCTTTTCAGTCTCCTGAGGGGAATAGGCTTTGTCGTGCCCTCTTCACGACTGTCTTGGTGTGTTTGGACCATGATAGTTTGTTGGTGATGTGGACACCAAGGAACTTGAAGCTCTCAACCTGGTCCACTACAGCCCTCCATTTCCTGTAGTCCACAATCATCTCCTTTATCTTGATCACGTTGAGGGAGAGGTTGTTATCCTGGCACCACTCGGCCAGGTCTCTGACCACCTCCCTATAGGCTGTCTCATCGTTGTCTGTGATCAGGCCTACCACTGTTGTCGTCGGCAAACTTAATGATGGTGTTGGAGTCGTGCCTGGCCATACAGTCATGGGTGATCAGGGAGTACAGGAGGGGACTGAGCACACACCCTTGAGGGGCCCCCGTGTTTAGGATCAGCGTGGCAGATGTGTTGTTACCTACCCTTACCACCTGGGGGCGGCCCGTCAGGAAGTCCAGGATCCAGTTGCAGAGGGAGGTGTTTAGTCCCAGGGTCCTTAGCTTAGTGATGAGCTTTCAGGGCACTATGGTGTTGAACGCTGAGCTGCAGTCAATGAATAGCATTCTCACGTAGGTGTTCCTCTTGTCCAGGTTGGAAAGGGCAGTGTGGAGTGCAATAGAGATTGGATCTGTTGGGGTGGTATGCAAATTGGAGTGGGTCTAGGGTTTCTGGGATAATGGTGTTGATGTGAGCCACGACCAGCCTTTTCATGGCTACAGATGTGAGTGCTACGGGTCGGTAGTCATTTAGACAGGTTACCTTAGTGTTCTTGGGCACAAGGACTATGGTGGTCTGCTTGAAACATGTTGTTATTACAGACTCAGTCAGGGACATGTTGAAAATGTTAATTGAAGACACTTGCCAGTTGGTCAGTGCATGCTCGGAGTACACGTCCTGATGATCTATCTGGCCTTCGGCCTTGTGAATGTTGACCTGCTTAAAAGTCATACTCACATCGGCTACGGAAAACGTGATCACATAGTCCTCCGGAACAGCTGATGCTCTCATGCATGCTTCAGTGTTGCTTGCCACGAAGCGAGCATAGAAGTGATTTAGCTCATCTGGTAGGCTTGTGTCACTGGGCAGCTCGCGGCTGTGCTTCCCTTTGTAGTCTGTAATAGCTTTCAAGCCATGCCACATCCGACGAGCGTCGGAGCCGGTGTAGTATGATTCAATCTTAGTCCTGTATTGACTCTTCGCCTGTTTGATGGTTCGTCGGAGGGCATAGCGGGATTTCTTATAAGCGTCCGGGTTAGTGTTCCGCTCCTTGAAAGCGGCAGCTCTACCCTTTAGCTCAGTGCGGATGTTGCCTGTAATCCATGGCTGTTGGTTGGGGTATGTACGTATGGTCACTGTGGGGACGACGTCATCGATGCACTTATTGATGAAGCCAGTGACTGATGTGGTGTACTCCTCAATGCTATCGGAAGAATCCCGGAACATATTCCAGTCTGTGCTAGCAAAACAGTCCTGTAGCTTAGCATCTGCCTCATCTGACCACTTCCTTATTAACCGAGTCACTGGTGCTTCCTGCTTTTAGTTTCTGCTTATAAGCAGGAATCAGGAGGATGGAGTTATGGTCAGATTTGCCAAATGGAGGGCGAGGGAGAGCTTTGTACGCGTCTCTGTGGGTCGAGTAAAGATGGTCTAGTGTTTTTTCTTCTGGTTGCACATTTAACATGCTGGTAGAAGTTAGGTAGAACGGATTTAAGTTTCCCTGCATTAAAGTCCCCTGCCACTAGGAGCGCTGCCTCTGGATGAGCGTTTTCCTGTTTACTTATGACCTTATACAGCTCATTGAGTGCAATCTTAGTGCCAGCATCGGTTTGTGGTGGTAAATAGACAGCTACGAAAAATATAGATGAAATCTCTCTTGGTAAATAGTGTGGTCTACAGCTTATCATGAGATACTCTACCTCAAGTAAGCAAAACCTCGAGACTTCCTTAGTATTAGATTTTATGCACCAGCTGTTGTTTACAAATATACACAGACCGCCACCCTTTGTCTTACCAGAGTCAGCCGTTCTATCCTGCCGATGTAGCGTATATCCCGCCAGCTGTATGTTATCCATGTCGTCGTTCAGCCACGACTCGGTGAAACATAAGATTACAGCTTTTAATGTCCCATTGGTAGGATAACCTTGATCTTAGGTCGTCCAATTTATTTTCAAATGATTGTACATTGGCTAATGGGATTGATGGAAGAGGCACTTTACTCGCTCGCCGTCGGATCCTTACAAGGCACCCCGACCTACGTCCACGATATATCCGTCTCATGCGAATGACGGGGATTTGGGCCTTGTCGGGTGTCTGTAGAATATTATTCGCATCCGACTCATTGATATAAAGATCTTTGTCCAATACGAGGTGAGTAATCACTATCCTGATATCCAGAAGCTCTTTTTGGTCATAAGAGACGGTGGCAGAAACATTATGTACAGAATAAATTACAAATAACGCGAAAAAACACTGATAATAGTACAATTGGTTAGAGGGCTGTAAAACGGCAGGTATCTTCTCCGGTGCCATTATCTGGCGCTAAGCTAAGCGTAATCAAACGAGCAAAAGGTCAATATAGGAATAAAGTGGAATCATACTACACAAGCTCTAACTTCCGCCGCATGTGGATTACAAAGGAAGACCCAGCTGTGATCTGCCCAACGATGCCACTCTTCCAGACGAACTCAATACATTTTATGCACGCTTCGACAATCACACCGTGCGTGAGGGCCCCCACTGACTCAGGACTGGGTGATCTCGCTCTCCGAGGCCAAGGTGAGGTAAGGTCTTTTAAATCAGGTTAAAACTCACGGGGCCGGACGGTATTCCAGGGAGCGTTCTCAGAGCATGTGCCGATCAGCTGGCAGGCATATTCACGGTAATAAAATGCAAATGAATTACTTAAAAATCATAATGTGATTTTCTGGATTTTTGTTTTAGATTCCGTCTCTCACAGTTGAAGTGTACCTATGATAAAAATTACAGACCTCTACATGCTTTGTAAGTAGGAAAACCTGCAAAATCGGCAGTGTATCAAATACTTGTTCTCCCCACTGTATACTGACTACCCACACACACTTGCCTAAAATCATCATTTACGTTGCTGCTACTCTGTTTATCATATCCTGATGCCTAGTCACCTTACCCATATACATACACTACGTGACCAAAAGTATGTGGACACCTGCTCATCGAACATCTCATTCCAAAATCATGGGCATTAATATGGAGTTGGTCCCCCCTTTGCTGCTATAACAGCCTGCACTCTTCTGGGAAGGCTTTCCACTAGATGTTTGAACTTTGCTGCAAGGACTTGCTTCCATTCAGCCACAAGCATTAGTGAGGTCGGGCACTGATGTTCTGCGATTAAGCCTGGCTCGCAGTCAGCGTTCCAATTCATCCTAAAGGTGTTCGATGGGGTTGAGGTCAGGGCTCTGTGCAGGCCAGTCAAGTAATTCCACACCGATCTCAACAAACCATTTCTGTATGGACCTCACTTTGTGCACTGGGGCATTGTCATGCTGAAACAGGAAAGGGCCTTCCCCAAACTGTTGCCACAAAGTTAGAAGCACAGAATCGTCTAGAATGACATTGTATGCTGTAGCGTTAAGATTTCCCATCACTGGAAGTAGGGGGCCTAGCGTGAACCATGAAAAACAGCCCCAGAACATTTATTCCTCTCAACCAAACTTTTGTTGGAACTATACATTGGGGCAGGTAGCGTTCTCCTGGCATCCGCCAAACCCAGATTTGTCCGTCAGACGATGGTGAAGCGTGATTCATCACTCCAGAGACTCGTTTCCACTGCTCCAGAGTCCAATGGCGGCAAGCTTTACACCACTCCAGCTGACGCTTGGCATTGCGCATGGTGATCTTAGGCTTGTGTGCGGCTGCTCGGCCATGGAAAGCCATTTCATGAAGCTCCCGACAAACAGTTCTTGTGCTGACGCTGCTTCCAGAGGCAGTTTGGAACCCGGTAGTGAGTGTTGCAACCGAGGACAGACGATTTTTACACGCTACTCGCTTCAGCACTCAGCGGTCCCGTTCTGTGCGCTTGTGTGGCCTACCAGTTCACGGCTGAGCCATTGTTACTCCTAGATGTTTCCACTTCACAATAACCGCACTTACAGTTGACCAGGGAAGCTCTAGCAGGGCAGACATTTGATGAACTGACTTGTTGGAAAGGTGGCATCCTATGCCGGTGCCACGTTCAAAGACACTGAGCTCTTCAGTAAGGCCATTCTACTGCCAATGTTTGTTTATGGAGATTGCATGGCGGTGTGCTCGGTTTTATACCTGTCAGCAACGGGTGTGGCTGAAATAGCCAAATCCACTAATTTGAAGGGGTATGCACATACTTTTGTGTGTAAATTCAGAAAAAAAAGAAACGTCCCTTCTTCAGGACCCTGTCTTTCAAAGATAATTTGTAAAAATCCAAATAACTTCACAGATCTTCATTGTAAAGGGTTTAAACACTGTTTCCCATGCTTGTTCAATGAACCATAAACAATGAATGAACATGCACCTGTGGAACGGTTTTAAGACACTAACAGCTTACAGACGGTAGGCAATTAAGGTCACAGTTATGAAAACTTAGGACACTAAAGAGGCCTTTCTACTGACTCTGAAAAACACCAAAAGAAAGATGCCCAGGGTCCCTGCTCATCTGCGTGAACGTGCCTTAGGCATGCTGCAAGGAGAAATGACGACTGCAGATGTGGCCAGGGCAATAAATTGCAATGTCTGTACTGTGAGACGCCTAAGACAGAGCTACAGGGAGACAGGACGGACAGCTGATTGTCCTCGCAGTGGCAGACCATGTGTAACAACACCTGCACAGGATCGGTACATCCGAACATCACACCTGCGGGACAGGTACAGGATGGCAACAACAACTGCCCGAGTTACACCAGGAACGCACAATCCCTCCATCAGTGCTCAGACTGTCTGCAATAGGCTGAGAGAGGCTGGACTGAGGGCTTGTAGGCCTGTTGTAAGGCAGGTCCTCACCGGCAACAACATCGCCTATGGGCACAAACCCACCATCGCTGGACCAGACTGGTCTTGCAAAAAGTGCTCTTCACTGACGAGTCACTGACAAGGACACATTATTCAATTTCTGTTAGTCACATGTCAGTGGAACTTGTTCATTTTGTCTCAGTTGTTGAATCTTATGTTTATACAAATATTTACACATGTTAAGTTTGCTGAAAATAAACGCAGTTGACAGTGAGGACGTTTTCTTTTTTTGCTGAGTTTGTGTATAGATCTAGCTATCACTCCAGTATCCCTGCACATTGTAAATATGGTATTGGAACTGACCCTGTATGTAGCTTCTTACACTCTCCTTTTCTTTTTATTTAGTGTGTATTTTTGATCTACCTTATGTCGTGGAAATTACCACCAGGGACACTTGAAGTCAATCTTAAATTAATCATTGTTTATTAACAGCAAGCTGGAGAGGTCACAGTCAAACTTAGATGCGTAAAGTACCGGTCTGAAGTGAGCTCTACCGGGGCAGTTTGGTTAGTTCTCTTATATACTGCTTAAACAGACAAGTTATATTTGCATGATTTAGCTTATTCATCATTCATAATTAATTCATTAACGTTTGGTTCATGCATGTGACTGACCAATACCTCATGAGGCTTCTTCTCTCCAAGCTGAGAGATCCCTTTCGTTCTCAAAACAATGTTCTGGGCGTACTGCCAAATTGCAGATACTGATAATGAGGATTCCTCCCAGGCACGATCTATCAGTCACTTGCATGAACCCAGTCGAATTGGTAATTAGAAAAGCACAAACACAAAATGTTCCATCATATTTGTTATTGACTCTATGGCTGCGTTTATCCGGGCAGCCCAATTCTGATCTTTTGCCCAATTTTTTTGTAGCAAAATATCTGAATTGGGCTGCCTGTGTAAACGCAGATTAACAAGTTACCCCCCCCCCCCCCCCACACACACACAGATAACTGTGAGAAGGATGTGGAGGAAGAGGATGATGAAGATGAGAGTACTGATGATGACTGCGATGCTGATTCCATAAGTCCTGTTACAGAGATCCGTTTTGTGCCCAGTGACACGGCCTCCTGTAAGTGGTAACTGTGGAATACCATACATGCATACTTCACCCTATTGTGAGCTATATCAGCACAGTATTGGACTCTGTAATAGATATTCAGGCCTGAGCTAAATTTGAAAATGAACCCCAAAGGAATGTTACTTAGATCGGACCAAATTGATGGTCGCTTTTACAGCTGAAGAGGTAACAACTTAGATCTATGGTTCGGGGAAAGTGTTGGTTTGAACAACTTTCCCAAATACTTGCCTGAATTTGTGTGTGTGTTTTCCACCCTCCAGTGGAGCCCATGTTCTCAGCCATCTCTGAATGCCAGGCCCTGCACCCTGACCCTGAAGACTCAGACTCTGAGGGAGATGAGTACGACGTTGAAGAAGCTGGTGAGTGAGCACTCCATGGCCATGTTCAGTATTCATTAGGGCACACAGCAGAATGTTTTGCAACGGGAAACGAAAATGAACCTTTCCCATTGAACAAGTCCAGGTAGTCCCTCCCTGCTTTAGTCTTCTGCCGTTTGGTGCCTAATGAACACAACCCGTCTTTCTTGCCAACAAATGAACTTCTCTTGACCTCTAGACTTGGATGTTTCATGGCTAAATGTCCTCCATGCACCTCCTCGACACCTTGACAACTGTTCTGCGATCAGTATAAGGATGCACATTAATTTGTCTCATTCAGGTCGTGTTGGACTAGGTCAGTGCTAAAATAATAATTGATGTTGGCTAACTTTAACGAAAGTGTTCATTCGGTTTATGATGCCATGCCTAAACGCATAGTGACTGTAAATCCAGAATAAACATACTTTTTTAATTTGATTTTTTTATTTAAAGACCACAACATACTTTACAGTCCTACAGAATAATTTCATTGGGGCGCCCAGTGTCAACTATATGTGGATATTTTACTAACCCTGCGGTCTCTTGTCTCCCCCACCCACAGAACAGGGTCAGATAGACCTGACCGCATTTTACAATTTTGAGGATGGTCTGTCCCAGCTCACCCTGGAGGGCCAGGCCACCCTGGAAAAACTGGAGGGGATGCTGGCCAACTCTGCATCCCAGAAACACCACTGCGTGGCCGGGGCCATGCCCGAGGACACCCCAACGGGATGCTGCAATGGTATGGGCTTGAAACAAATTGGAATGTGGTCTGCATTGCTTTGTATATGCACCTGGGTCGCCTTCATTAGGGCATGCAATGGAAAAAGAAAATGAGTCCAAGTTGTCCCTCCCCGTTTCAGTCTTTCTGTTTGGTGCCTAATGAACACCCCTGATTTGGGTAACAGTAGGTCCTAGGGGTGGACATTTTGTGGTAGTACCGGGAAAAATGCAAGATGCTCTGATGAAGATACATGAAGCATCAGCGACACGTGTCAGCATTTGATTATTGAAGGGAATCAATTTGCCGTCCTGAACCTCCTGCCAGCATTTTAGTTTAACAGTATTAAGCACCCCATCAGTAGTCTAGCCTCAAATTCCAAACTGAATAACACTAGGTTTCACTATTGTTTCAAGTAGCCCTTATGTTACTGAATGTATTCATATTTCGTTATCAACAAATGCTGCAAAAAGTACAGATGTGTAAAATGCACATAAAATTAACAATAGCGTTTGGATTCAGTCTAGTAAGCTGGACGGCTTTGTCCTCACCTTTTGATCCATTCATTTCCCCATAATCTCCAGACTGTTCCTTTTCAATTGCTACCATGGTTATGCATTTCATATTTCATCTGTAAGAAACATTTTAATTTAGTGTTGTCCGTGATATAGGCCAATTCCCATGAGTGTAAAGGTTTAAGAAATGCAGCATAATTCAGCCCTGTTTTCAAGGCTTCCCCTTCAGCAGTCCAGTAAAAATAAAATCTAATACCCCATAATGACAAAGCAAAAACAGGTTTTAGAAATGTTAGCGCATTTATTAAAAAGAAGAAACTGAAATATTACATTTACATAAGTATTCAGACCCTTTACTCAGTACTTTGTTGAAGCACCTTTGGCAGCGATTAGTCTCAAGTCTTCTCGGGTATGACGCTACAAGCTTGGCACACCTGTATTTGGGGAGTTTCTCTCATTCTTCTCTGCAGATCCTCTCAAGCTCTGTCAGGTTGGATGGGGAGCGTCGCTGCACAGCTATTTTCAGGTCTCCCAGAGATGTTCGATCAGGTTCAAGTCCGGGCTCTGGCTGGGCCACTCAAGGACATTCAGAGACTTGTCCCGAAGCCACTCCTGCGTTGTCTCGGCTGTGTGCTTAGGTTTGTTGTCCTGTTGGAAGGTGAACCTTCGACCCAGTCTGAGGTCCTGAGCGCTCTGGAGCAGGTTTTCATCTCTCTGAGGTCCTGAGCGCTCTGTGCTCCGTTCATCTTTCCCTCGATCCTGACTAGTCTCCCAGTCCCTGCCGCTGAAAAACACCCCCACAGCATGATACTGCCACCACCATGCTTCACCGTAGGGATGGTGCCAGGTTTCCTCCAGACGTGACGCTTTGCATTCAGGCCAAAGAGTTGAATCTTGGTTTCATCAGACCAGAGAATCTTGTTTTCATGGTCTGAGAATCCTTTAGGTGCCTTTTGGCAAACTCCAAGCAGGCTGTTGTGTGCTTTTTTTACTGAGGCGTGGCTTCCATCGGGCCACTCTACCATAAAGGCCTGATTGGTGGAGTACTGCAGAGATGGTTGTCCTTCTGGAAGGTTCTCCCATCTCCACAGAGGAACTCTGGAGCTCTGTCAGTGACCATCGGGTTCTTGGTCACCTCTCTGACCAAGGCCCTTCTCCCTCGATTGCTCAGTTTGGCCGGGCGGCCAGCTCTAGGAAGAGTCTTTGGTGGTTCCAAAATTCTTCAATTTTAAGAATGATGGAGGCCACTGTGTTCTTGAGGACCTTCAATGCTGCAGACATTTTTTGGTACCCTTCCCCAGATCTGTGCCTCGACACAATCCTGTCTCGGAACTCTAGGGACAATTCCTTCGATCTCATGGCTCGGTTTTTGCTCTGACATGCACTGTCAACTGTGGGACCTTTATATAGACAGATGTGTGCCTTTCCAAATCATGTCCAATCAATTGAATTTACCACAGGTGGACTCTAATCAAGTTGTAGAAACATCTCAAGGATGATCAATGGAAGCCTGATGCACCGGAGCTCAATTTCGAGTCTCATAGCAAAGGGTATGAATACTTATGTAAAAAAAAAAGGTTTTCAGTTTTTTTATTTGTAATACATTTGCAAAATTGTCTAAACCTTTTGTCATTATGGGGTTTGTGTGTGTAGGTTGTGATTTGTATTTATTTAATCAATTTTAGAATAAGGCTGTAACGTAACAAATGTGGAAAAAGTCAAGGGGTCTGAATACTTTCCGAATGCACTGTATGATGACGTTAGAGGAGGAAATGCAGAGTTTTGGGAAGCATAGTCTTGTTTTCCTTTTAACTCTCACTTGATTATTACCGCCCAAAATCCTTTTAGGTCAAGGGACATAAAAAGAAAAAAAAACTATTCGAGGGTGTTCTTCATTAGGGCACGCAGCAGAAAGCTCTTTAAAATGTTTTGCAACGGAAAATGGAAATTAGTGTTTAAGTCCAAGTAGTCCCTCCCTGTTTCAGTCAGTTTTCTTCCGTTTGGTGCTGAATGGACGCTACCCACGGGTCTGCTTTGAGGAGATTAAGCTCAGATTGAGTGGCACACCACCAGCAGATGGCCCAAGTGAAGCAATTAAGCAGTCTTCCAACGTTCAAACACCATGTGACCAGAGACCTACACCACCTTTGGGGTGAAGTTTCCCCTAGGTACAGATGTAAAATCAGCTTCCCCAATCCTAATCTTATCCATCATGTATGGGCAACTTCACCCTACCCCCTTTCACCACGTTAGATATGTTGACACTTAAGTGCCAGTATAGCATAGCACATTCCATTCCATTTCGGGCGGGGTGTAGTGTCATGTATATGCTACAGCGAATGTCCTCCATACTGTAATATATAGGTTTATGAGCTGTCACCTTAAGTGACTGAGGCGTTTTGAAACAGGATGGTGGAGCGCACTCGTGTTGCATGCATGCGTTCCATACATTCTATAGGGCAACGCTGCCAGATGCACAAAGCTTTGCTTTGCAACGCTGCTGCCTGTCGTTGCTGCGTCACAGAGTCCAATTGACACCCGACACTAACCTTTTTGGTCTGTGACCTTAGGGTAGCTAGTGTATCCCCAACCTATTCTTGATTATATTCCACTTATTTGAACTATTCCAGTTCTAGCATGGCTGATCTGATACCATGAATTGGTCAATTAATCGTCAAGCCTTTGATTAGTTAGCCTTTCCTCAACTGAACTGGTCAACTGAATGAACAGCGACATAGAGGAATATTAACATTTTATTAAAATAGTTTTCGGCATAGCCTCGTCTCAGGAATTATCCTTGGAGCCGAAATTCTGATTTCAGGTAGCCAGCCCAATGGGGGGAAACTGGCATCGAGACCCCCTGCTGGGAGAAAGGAGTTTGATGGGTCTTAAACTGGTGGTGGGGAGGTGGATGGTTGTCAAACTGTTACAAAAAAACAGCAAGTGAGAGAACAAAGGGTAAGTTGACATAAATGCATCCTGCGATTTACGCCCATTGGTTGAGAGGAAGGTGATAATTGCAAGCGTTAGCCCATAGGATAAACAGCAAGCGTGAGGAATGTGTATTATTGTGCCATGCTCATAGGCTATAAGGGAAATAGGTGTATGACATTCCGCACGTGGCAAATAGAAAGGAGTAGATATGAAGCTTTGATAGTTTGTAAACACTAATATATTCCCACTATGATCATAGAGGAAGCAATGTGAATATACACTACCGTTCAGAAGTTTGGGGTCACTTAGAAATGTCCTCATGTTTTCTAAAGAAAAGCAAAAAAAAATGGTCCCTTGAAATAACATCAAATTGATCAGAAATACAGCGTAGACATTATTGTAAATGGCTATTGTAGCTGGAAACGGCTGATTTTTAATGGAATATCTACATAGGCGTACAGAGGCGCATTATCAGCAACCATCAGTCCTGTGTTCCAATGGCACGTTGTTTGCTAATCCAAGTTTATCATTTTAAAAGGCTAATTGATCATTAGAAAACCCTTTTGCAATGATGTTAGCGAAGCTGGAAAACTGTTGTGCTGATTTAAAGGTTGCAAAGAAAAAGCTATATCTCAGACTGGCCAATAATAAGAAAAGATTAAGATGGGCAAAATAACACTGGACTTTTTCTTTGCAACTCTGCCTAGAAGGTCAGCATCCCGGAGTCGCATCTTCACTGTTGACGTTGAGACTGGTGTTTTGCGGGTACTATTTAATGAAGCTGCCAGTTGAGGCGCCTGTTTCTCAAACTAGACACACTAATGTATTTGTCCTCTTGCTCATTTGTGCACCGGGGCCTCCCACTCCTCTTTCTATTCTGGTTAGAGCCAGTTTGCGCTGTTCTGTGAAGGGAGTAGTACACAGCGTTGTACGAGATCTGCAATTTCTCGCATGGAATAGCCTTCATTTCTCAGAACAAGAATAGACTGACGAGTTCCAGAAGAAAGTTATTTGTTTCTGGCCATTTTGAGCCTGTAATCAAACCCACAATTGCTGATGCTCCAGATACTCAACTAGTCTCAATAAGGCCAGTTTTATTGCTTCTTTAATCAGCACAACAGTTTTCAGCTTTGCTAACATAATTGCAAAAGGGTTTTCTAATGATCAATTAGCCTTTTTAAAATTATAAACCTGGATTAGCAAACACAACGTGCCATTGGAACACAGGACTGATGGTTGCTGATAATGGGCCTCTGTACGCCTATGTAGATATTCCATTAAAAATCTGCCGTTTCCAGCTACAATAGCCATTTACAACATTAACAATGTCTACACTGTATTTCTGATCGATTTGATGTTATTTCAATGGACAAAAAAATTGCTTTTCTTTCGAAAACAAGGACATTTCTAGGTGACCCCAAACTTTTGAACGGTAGTGTATTTGCTTACTGATGAAGTTAAAGAAGCAAGCCATTCAGACCACCTTAGTGATGTTGAACTTGTTGACCAGTTCTCGTGCTGGAATAAGATCAAATAAGTGCAACTTGTTGGGGGTACCGATACTCAAGTTTGGGAAACACTGACTTAGGGTATAGAGTGATATAACTGAAGTTTCCTCAGGGGAAAATTACAGTAATTATATCCTATTCAATATGGGATCTTTTCCAATTGTTCCAGGGATATTTCATTGTTCCTATTACATTTAAATTTTTGTCATTTAGTAGACGCTCTTATCCAGAGCGACTTACAGTAGTGAGTGCATGCATTTTCATATTTGTTCGTAATGATCCCCCGTGGGAATCGAACCTACAACCCTGGCGTTGCAAGTGCCATACTCTACCAACTGAGCCACACTATTCTCTCCTCTTCACCTGCAGTACCTCAAACACTGAGTATACAAACATTAAGAACACCTGCTCTTTCCATGAGACTGACCAGGTGAAAGCTATGATCCCTTATTGATGTCACTGGATTGTGTATGTGTGCCATTCAGAGGGTGAATGGGAAGACAAAAGATTTTAGTGCCTTTGAACGGGGTCTGGTAGTAGGAAGGTGTTCCAAATGTTTGGTATACTCAGTGCAAGTGTCATGTTCAGTAGGAAAATATTTTTAAATGGAGTGAAACGGGGAGGTACTGCCTTATCCAATGAACACATTTTCCATTGCAAAACATTTTGCTACAGTTTGCACTCAGGTGTCCAGAAGGACAAGTTGTTTAATGAAATACTTATCTGACTCCTACCCTTCCTCTCCACCTCCAGAGTCTGGTGCAGTAGGGGTCTCAGGACAGTTTGAAGACGCCGACGTTGATCATTGGTAAGACTGTCACCTTCCTCCTGGGAATGGGTTCAATTGATTGATTTAGATTTTTATTGGATAATTAAAAGTACATAGGCTTCTCCAGGTGGTTGATTTTATATAATTCAGTGTTTCCATCACTAGCACACCTGATTCAACTAGTCAAAGCCCTTTTATTAGCTGTGTCAGGTGTGCTAGTACTGGAATAGACTAAATAAGGGGAACGGCTGGGGGTACTCGAACAGAGGTTAGGGAAACGCTGCTATTATGCCTCTAATTATTATTAGGGCTCATGATTGGCTCTCTCCTCCTGTGCTGTTGCTAATTGTATTGTTGGGTTTTAAATGATTGTGTGACTATGAATGGCTCTGTTCCCGTGCGTAGTTTTAACGATCCCTGTACTGTAATCAAGCTGGGTAGTTCTAATACTCTCGTTGGCAGAGACTGCCTAGCTTGGCCTGCAACTGATAAATTCCACCTTCCATTCACCCGTGGCACAAGTTCCCCCTAGACTTTACACAGTGTGATTTTAATCATTGACTCACGCTCCAGTCCCTTACCCCAAGGCCACCTATAGCGTGTTCAAGCAGTCATTTTATTTTAGCACTTTTTGGACTAATGAAGAGTCATGATAACATGGCCATGATGTCACCGTGATCAGGTCCATTTCCTGGCCACTAATCAGCCGTGTGAAATGTGATCTTGTGTTGCAGATGGAACAGAGAGGCCCTTGTTCGCACCCCCCTGACTGAAAGCTTTTTGAAAACGGGGGCATTAGGGTGGAATCGAGGAGGGAGGCCTAAAGGTCTGATTGCGTAACACAGATGCAGGGAGGGCCAAGGCACTGGGTCTCCTCTGAATGAGAAAGTCTCACCCAGCTAATCTCTACTGGCGGGTCACCATAGGCCTCTAAGTCTGGAAGACTAACACAAATAACAACTCACTTTTTTTTATGTGGAGTTTCCATTTTTGTTACTGAGAGAAAAGACCAGCAGATTTATTTTGAGCTTTGTATGTTCAAATACTAAATAATAAAACTTGGTTTTGTATAAAGCAAAGTGTGTGTGTGAGAATGGATTAATTGGTAGTTGAAATGTAGTCAAACATAATCTGATTCATCTGAAGTGAGCACAAGGACTTTCAAACAGCAACTTGTAAATCTAATCAACCTTCTACTGTAATTCTTATCAACCTGTGTTTTAACAAGTGATAAGTTGCAGGATAAGGATTTGAGATGTAATGCTGGTGGGATGTTCAGTTGGCTGCCACAGGCCAGCTCTAGGGCCGTAACAACATTGTTTGCTGAAAATACTTTTTGTTTGCCAACTGGCACCCTGGTTGAGTGGCATTGTGTTTTTCTGTAGGACTGCCACTCTACCCTCCCCCCCCCCCCCCCCCCCCCCTTGTTGAAAGAAAGCTTTGTGTGTGGGGCGTGGGGGGGTCTGGCTCTACTGCCACGCAGAGAAAGAATGGATTCAGAGGATTTATGCTGAAATACAGTGACCGCTCAGAGCCCAAACACCATCCCAGTCCCCTTTTCTCTTTTGATCGTTCCTTCTCCATTTAAAAGGGAAATAGTGTTGGGAAGTCTTTCTGCACACCGTGTGCATTTTAATCAGAGGGAAAGCATTGTTGAATTTTTTTAATATATATAAAATCTGTAATCAAAAATTGCAGTAGGCTTCTGGATCCCAATTATTTTTTGATCCTGCTTTGGAATATACTGCTAACTGATAATCTGTTTCCACTAGTTCCAAAAATGCAGGAGAATGTGGATGTTGCTGAATAACCAGCTAACCATTTAAACTGTTTGGAGGAAACAAAAAGTTGAAAATAACATCACTTTAAATACTTTTGAGTAATCTTCAGGATCAAATTCTGAGCTAACAAGTTCTACAGTGAAGGAAGTTGTGCTGTGTTTACTGTTTTAGTTTGTAATGCTCAATTATGGAGATGGAATCTCTAAAGCCAACTGTACAGGACGGACACTCCACCCAGTTTACCGCCTTCCCCAGAGCTTAAAATACTGACTTGATAACATGATGATACAAACAGTTCAATGTTTTCTAGTGGTAAAATTACCCAATATAATAAGCAATTTCCTTTAGCATTACTCCTTATGGCTGTTGGGAATTTGGGATATGTGGGAATATTGTGATGGTGTATTCTGAGATAATCCCCATATTTTAGATTTTATTAAATCGCAAAACATTTATTTTATTTTGAACATTAACTTTTTTCCTTTTTAGCAATTCTTTAACTAAACAAGCTTCTGTTCAGCTAAAGCAAAAACGGTGTCTGTCTCAGAACTATACCTACAAGCAGAAGTGTATCTTTTGTAGATAAATTCGATGTACTATTTGCCCATCTGAATTGCAGCAGAACTCTGAAAATGGAGGCAGCTAGTACACAGAACACTAGGGTAAAAATCTACAGACAAACTGAGAAATTCAAACAGAAATGCAAATTATATGCAGGTCCTCATGTCCGTAAAAAAAAAAAAAAAGAAGTAAATATTTTTGAATTAAGTAACAGAATCACCACTGACTGCAATAAGAGCTCTGTTTTGTTCTTTAAGATAATCTCCATGCATCATTTAACAAATTGAATACTCTTCTTTGGCCTGAGACGCTACTGAGGTACTGCTGGACAAACAACATTGTAGAATTCCTTCTAGAATCAACATTTATAGAACCATTATGAAGATGGCATTATAGAACCGTTATGCACGAGATAGAAGTGGAGTAGTGATTGAGTCGAGGCATTTTGTGTTTTTTATGGCTTTGTCTGAAACTGCACCCTATTCACTAGTGTGTGTGTGTGTGTGTGTGTGTGTGGATATAGTACACTACTTTTGACCAGGGCCTATAGGGCTGTGATCAAAAGTAGTGCACTATATATAGGGAATAGGATGCCATTTCAAAGACGCTCACTGTTATGTAACTGCAGTGAGGTAATGCCAGGGTTTGCCTATACATTCTGAGTTTACTCTTTGGCAGAAAGAGAAAGCAAAGTGACTTTTGCAGTTATAATGCATTGTAAGACTTGACATGAGCATTTGACCCCTTCATAACCCCTTAAATGTCTAATCATAATGATCCAGACTATTCATAACATATTATAACCCTTGTTTTTAGACAAAGGCTCATACATATTTATACTGGGAGTGGTACCATGACTCAGGTGCTTTTACCTATGGCAACTAAAATGGGACAGTTGAAGCGTGGTCAAACACCAGCACACATGCAAAGACTAAGGTACTCCATCGGTTGGAACAGAACTTTAAACATTTGAGGGGCTGCAAACGCCTGGCTCCATTTGCATTGCAGAATGTTTTTCACTGAGGTATGTCACTCTGCCTTCTATAGATAGGTATGTCACAATGACTGACGATATTAGGAACTGGGAGGGGCCTGGTGCCCAACTGGATGTATGTCACGCAGCTGAGAGTCGAGTGTGGAGACGAATGGGTTCGGTTCAGTCAGTCGTCCTGATAAGCCCTTGTAAACTAAAGTGATGTTTGTCAATGGGGCGAGGGAGGAATAACTTGTAGTATTGGTCACCATCTCCAATTTGTTTCATCCCACTTGATTTTATTTTGAGTAGGATAGCAGCCTACATGTGAAATAACTTGAAATATTCTTAGTAACCATCTGGATGTCACCGTGAAACAGTCTACCTTCACTGCTCAATGGGGAGAGTTTGCGCTGCAAGCCGACAACACGGGGCACCATGTCCTTCGCTCCCGCTTGCTGCAGTAAGGAGAGGGAAGTAGCTAGATAGTGTAGCCAATATCAGGCCAGTAAGGAGAGGGAAGTAGCTAGATAGTGTAGCCAATATCAGGCCAGTAAGGAGAGGGAAGTAGCTAGATAGTGTAGCCAATATCAGGCCAGTAAGGAGAGGGAAGTAGCTAGATAGTGTAGCCAATATCAGGCCAGGGTGACCGCTAAAGCACATTTTATTGTAGTGATTTTCACCGTACAACTATGGCATTAGCATCTAACGTTACATTTTTGTAAAAAAGTAAAACTATTACTCCGATTAAAAGCTGAATGCTTCTGAACACTCCCAAGTCCCAATTTAGTCAGACAAGTTTCAAATTCTAGCTCAACTTTCTAGCCACAATCATTAAACTAGCTAGCGGTGAACGGCTCATCAGGATGACTGGCTGCAGCTGAGCTGTGGTCTGAGCATTTCTTATTATTCTGTATGTAAATCCGAGACTCCATTTAGTATATGTTACGTTTGTGGATGTCCATCACCCATTTCGTCTATGTTACCAATTTCAATTCTTAAATGTTGAGAATTTGCTAAAACGTACAATATGTTACGAATTTGCAAAATGTATGATATGTTACAAATTCTAGCTAGGTGGCTAACGTTAACTAGCTGGCTAACATTAGGGTTAAGTTTAGGCGTTAGCTAACCCTTCCCCTTTAACCTAACATGCAAAGTAGCTAAACAGTAGTAAATAGTTGCTAAATTGCTAAAGTTGTCTGTGATGAGATTCGAACTCGCAACCTTTGGATTGATAGACGTTCGACATACGATCACCCATCCACCCCAACCAACCACCATACTTTTGTTTTTGCCTTAAGTAACCATCTGTCTTATGTAACCATACCAAATGTAACATATCATACTAATTTGAGTGTCTCGGATTTTCACTGTTACGTCTAGTCTGAGACCAGGTTGCTGACTGAACCAAATATTTGTCTCCACTCAACTCTCGTTGCGCGTCATCAATTTGGGCACCAAGCGTGTCTGTATAGCCTCTCCCTTAGGAACATGTTTAGTATTCCTTTCCTTTCCATTCTGCTCATCTTGAGTATGTTGTACTGGTGTAGTCATCCCGGGTATAAGGTTCATACAGCAACAACGTGGTACAGTGCATTCGGAAAGTATTCAGACCCCTTCACTTTTTCCACATTTTGTTACGTTACAGCCTTATTCTAAAATGGATTTAAAAAAAAATTACTCAATCTACTCACAATACCCCATAATGACAAAGCAAAAACACGATTTTTGAAATGTTTGCAAATTTATTACAAATGTAAAACAGATACCTTATTTACATAAGTATTCAGACCTTTTGCTATGCGACGCAGTTGAGCTCAGGTGCATCCTGTTTCCATTGATCATCCTTGATGTTTCTACAACTTGATTGGAGTCCACCTGTGGTAAATTTAAATTAATTGGTCATGATTTGGAAAGGCACACACCTGTCTATATAAGGTCCCACAGTTGACAATGCATGTCAGAGCAAAAACCAAGCCATGAGGTCGAAGGAATTGTCCGTAGAGCTCCGAGACAGGATTGTGTCGGCACAGATCTGGGGAAGGGTACCAAAACATTTTCTGTAGCATTGAAGGGTCCCCAAGAACACAGTGGCCTCATCATTCTTAAATGGAAGAAGTTTGGAACCACCAAGGTTCTTCCTAGAGCTGGCCGCCCGACCAAACTGAGCAATCAGGGGAGAAGGGCCTTTGTCAGGGAGGTGATCAAGAACCCGATGGTCACTCTGACAGAGCTCCAGAGTTCTTCTGTGGAGATGGAAGAACCTTCCAGAAGGACAACCATCTCTGCAGCACTCCACCAATCAGGCCTTTATGGTAGAGTGGCCAGACGGAAGCCACTCGTCAGTAATAGGCACATGACAGCCCGCTTGGAGTTTGCCAAAAGGCACCTAAATGACTCTCAGACCATGAGAAACAAGATTGAACTCTTTGGCCTGAATGCCAAGCGTCACGTCCCTACGGTGAAGCATGGTGGTGGCAGCATCATGCTGTGGGGATGTTTTTCAGCGGCAGGGACTGGGAGACTAGTCAGGATCGAGGGAAAGATGAACGGAGCAAGGTACAGAGAGATCCTTGATGAAAACCTGCTCCAGAGCGCTCAGGATCTCAAACTGGGGGCGAAGGTTCACCTTCCAACAGGACAATGACCCTAAGCACAACACCAAGACAACGCAGGAGTGGCTTCGGGACAAGTCTCTGAATGTCCTTGAGTGGCCCAGCCAGAGCCCCGACTTGAACCTGATCGAACATCTCTGGAGAGACCTGAAAATAGCTGTGCAGCGACACTCCCCATACAACCTGACAGAGCTTGAGAGTATCTGTAGAGAAGAATATCCAAGAAGACTCGAGGCTGTAATTGCTGCCCAAGGTGCTTCAACAAAGTACTGAGTAAAGGGTCTGAATGTGATATTTCATTATTTATTTTTATTTTATAAATTTGCAAAAATGTCTAAAGACCTGTGTTTGCTTTGTCATAATGGGGTGTTGTGTATCGATTGAGGGGGAAAAAACTATTTAAACAATTTTAGAATAAGGCTGTAACGTAACAATGTGGAAAAGGTCAAGGGAACTGAATACTGTGCCATTGCTGTAGTCATCCAGAGTAGAAGGTTCATTTCAGTTCATGCGGTCATGACAGTGTCGGGATAGGTTCATACGGGAACATGTTATGCCATTAGAGGTAACCCTGCACTAATGACTAAAATGTATATTGCGTAATGACGAAGTCCAGGGAGCTTTTTCTCAGCACATTTTCCCATATAAAAATCTTATTTTTTACTGAATAACCGCTGTTAGAATTAGTTAAATATAGCCCTTTTTAGGGCAGCAAAAATAGAAAATGAGTAGCAACTGTTTGTTGCATGGATGAGCACTTAGCCCTGAGCATAGACCGAATACTGTTTTTTGTTGTCTGTGGCAGGCACCAATATCGATAATTCAATAGATTACATATAGATTTGTGCCCACTACTAGTTTTTTGGGGGGCGGGGGGGGGGGGTGGTAAAATGATCACAAAGTTAAGACTTTGTATGTGTGAGCGCCCTTAGATCTAGTAATGTTAAGGTGACCATAATGACCAAATACTAATGGCCGACCCTGCACCATCTTATAGAAAAGAGCCTACACAGAGGACCAAAGCCACAATCTCAGTTGTGTGTTACTGTATCTTCTTCTTCTGGACAACAGGGATGCCCAGGCCCATTGTGCTTTTCCCAGATAGGAGTTGGATGACTTTGTCAAAGAGCAGGATGCACATTGCCATGCCTGTGAATACAGATAGATTATACAGGTTACACTTAGGAGCAAGTAGTCCAGCCCTGTCCCAAACCCCAGGGCAGGGTGAAACTCAATTGTCTTACACAACAACCCATTTTTCTAGTCTGGTCCCAAATTGTCATGCCAGCAGCATACCACCCTGCATCCCACTGCTGGCTTGCCTCTGAAACTAAGCAGGGTTGGTCCCTGGATGGGAGAACAGATGCTGCTGGAAGTGGTGTTGGAGGGCCACTAGGAGGCACTCTTTCCTCTGGTCTAAAATAAATCCCAATGCCCCTGGGCAGTGATTGGGGACATTGCCCTGTGTAGGGTGTCGTCTTTCGGATGGGACTTTAAACGGGTGTCCTGACTCTCTGTGGCCCATGGCACTTATTGTAAGAGTAGGGGTATTCAGGCTAAATTCCCAATCTGGCCCTCATACAATCATGGCCACCTAATCATCCCCAGCTTCCAATTGGCTCATTCATCCACCCTCTCCCCTGTAACTAATCCACAGGTCGTTGCTGTAAATGAGAATGTGTTCTCAGTCAACTTACCGGATAAAAATAAATAAAAATGGGCTGTACAGCACAAACCGATCTGGGACCAGGCTATCATTTTTCTATCTTAGTGGAACCCGACAGATATCACGACAGCTCACATTCTGTTTCAATTCACGTATCACAAGTATGACGAAGTGTGAGCGCTGTTGTCAGTCTGCTTGACCAGGCTACCATTTCCTTTACAGCCAGTAGGCAAAATAGCACTAGTACTTTACCTATGACTGGTCCCAGCCAGTAGACAAAAGCATATTCCAGGAAGGTGTGTCCACTGCAGGGGAACTGGACGGAGAAAGCCATGATTGGGTTGAAAACAGCCCCTGAAATATGACCCCCTGAGATGGGGGGGGGGGGACAGCAAAGGGTGAAGGTCAGTTGAAGTATCACTAGGATAGTTCCTCTCACATTCATATAGGTTAGTGTAAATACATACACCCACGCCCCCCTTTCTCTCCTTGCCTGCTTGCACACACACTCCTAGTCTCCATTTATTTCCCAGTCCCAAGTCCAGTAATTGCAAACCGAAATTCAATTAGTTCAATTGAAGTATGAATGACATGAGGGCACAAGCAGATAACTGTTGCAAATGATAAGCCGCATAGCCTATAAAAACAACTAGGCTATTATATTTCTGACTTATTAAACAGTTTGGTGATGATCATAATGAAAATCAACTTGACAAACCTGAGTAAACCAGTGATGTAATGACAGCAGCGATGACAGGGGCGTGGAATCTCTCGTCTAGTTTATGAATGTGGAGGACTGCGGCTTGGACAGTGAAAGTACAAGCCAGCTCCACACCAGCGGCCTCCAACAAGGGACCCATTGATGGGACTGAAGCATTTAAATCCGAACCTTGCGTGCCTGAGGTGGTGGTCGGATAGACCCAAGGACCAAATGTGGGGCGCAAGGAGCTGCGCTGCTTTCCCACCTATAAACATACAAGTTATGCGCGCCACAGCGCTTTTCCCTGTGATATTCTTGCGGTAAACGTTCTCGAGAGCACCATTTGGGTTGGCGAACGCCCCGTGAAAAGTTATTACGTGGACCACCGTGATTATGAAAGTCAGTGTGAGCCCTATGTGCTGTTCGATTCGGCCCACTTCGCCCAGGACTTTGAGTTCGTGCGTACATGCACAGAGCTGGTAGGTCGAGACAATTTCCACTAGGTAAATCCCATAATCCTTGCCAGAGAAGAGGCGCGAGATCAGTCTGCGCATCGCCTCGCAGAGAAGTACTGTTGTCGCCAATAGTGCCAGTGAAATCCCCAAGTCTGTCATTTTCGCAGAAATTAGGGTATCTTCTGCCGCTTCTCTCAACAACCGTGAATTTGGGTAACTTAATGCACCTCTCTGTGTAGTCGGTGGCAACATGTATCAAAGTCCACCGACGTCTCCGTCGCGAACCGAATGGTCAGCTGGACACACGGAAGTTGTTTTCACTGTTTGTGTCCGGAAGAACAGCAGAGGGCGCACTACACACACAGTTAAAGTAGCCATGCCACATATCACAATTCAACACTGATTTATTTATTAGGCTAAGTGCATTCATTCCAGTGGTTTTTCTGCCTGTTTTTCAGATTTAGCACATTATTAAAAGGCACAATCTGAGATATTTTCTGCTGTTAAATGGAATTTCAATTAATGATATACCTATTGATTCTTTAAGAAAATAACTTATAGATGCCTTAGGCTATAAGGTTGTATTACTTAATGTTTCGTTTTTTGTTGTCATTTCAAATGACTATGCTCTGGAGTTGCAAAAGATAATGATAGCCTACTTGCTATCAGAGAATATGTTACGGCTACAAATATCTGTTCAACGTTCCGAAATAGGAATACATTCCATATGGTTAGAAAGTATCCTTTACAATCTACTTTAACTTTTCTGTTTCATATGAGCTGGGTGATGAGCTGTAAAGGTCTGTTGCTTGAACAAGAGTGTCCCCTCCTGTTTTAAGTATGAAGAACTATGAAGATTCTCATTCCTTCCCCTCACTAACTAATGATAGTTGGCCCTACTCATGTCTTCTTGATGAAATCTTCTGATAAAGGGGCAAATCCTAACTTCCATTTAAGACAACATTTAACTTAGTCATGCATTGATGTCAATTGGAGACAAAGGCTGCGTTTAGACAGCAGCCCAATTCTGATAATTTTTTCAATAATTGGTCTTTTGACCAATCAGATCAGCTTTTACATTTTTTTGGGGGGGGAATATCAGAATTGGGCTGCATGTGTGAACACAGCCTATGGGCTCTATTCAATCCGTATCACAGAAGTTCAATTGAAATTTAAAGGCAATGTTCCCGCGTTGGCGGAGACTGCGTTCACAGTAAATGCTGCATATGTTGGCTCAATCTGAAATGTACCTTTACATTTCTATACCGCAATCTGCGATACAGATTGAATAGAGCCCTAAATTAAAATCTAAGTGGAAGTTAGGATTTGCCCCATACTGGATGAAATACACCATTCATTCCTAGGTATTTGGTCAGGGCCTAATGAAGGCAGTGGTGTTAGTTGTGTAACAAATTGTGTAACACCATTGACAGCCCACACTGTATCATGTGATGCCGTGTGGATTAGCAAACAGTTTTACCACTGAGTAAATAGCCTACACTATACTCATGATGACGCAAACCATTGTTTAAGTCAATATTGGCAAATCAGACTTGCAAACATGCCTACCAACTACGTTTGTGTCGTGACAGTGTTAAATTAATGATTAGTTCATGCTAAGTCATTCATAGTTTAAGTTCATTATTAGGTTTTACTACAGCGCTATGAAGGCCTTACTACAGGTTCAAGAGTTTCAGATTAGTTCATTCTAAGCACTCTGTTTCATATCGCACACACACACACACGCACACACACAATCTCCCAGAACACACTCTCCTTCACAAATTATTCCTCACTTTCAGAAGAACGTCATGAACATCATTGACCAAGAGGCTTAATACACAAAGGAGAGAAAAGCATCGGTGAGGGACTTGATGTTCCTGCTGTCACTGTGTATCAGGCTGAGCTGTGAGCAAGCAACCGTTGTGTCCCAGTCAGACACACTCTGAAAAGACAGGGCCTTAACCACCCTGTGGAGCAATTTATCGCATGGACACCACCACTATTAGCTCTGACAGGATGCAACTGTGGAAAATGCACAAAATATATGGCAAGAGTAAAAAAAAAAATTGTGTGTGTTATGGTCTTCTTGAAGACATTGTGGCCTCTGGGCATTTAGCCAACTGGAGACTATTAAAATGCTTCGTTCCTCTGCCGTGCTATCAGGACAATCATTTACCTCAGGAAAATCCCTTCTGCTCTGTGCATCATTTACATTTACATTTACGTCATTTAGCAGACGCTCTTATCCAGAGCGACTTACAAGTTGGTGCATTCACCCTATAGCATCAGTGACTTTAGTAGTGCTGAGTGATTATTGCTTTTTGAGGTCGGATCGTTTTGGTTTCATTTCGATTATTAAAAAAATTATCACGGATTTCGGTTTTCGCAATTATTATTTTTTACATTAAATGCACTATGCATTATGTGGGTTGAATGCTGTAACAACACAGAATAAAACAATAAAAGTCCCATGATGGTAGTGACTGCCCATTACTGCTAATCATTTATTAACCATAATTAATTCACATTACTTTACTTTAATAAAATATTTGTTGTGTATATTACATTTGTTTACTTTATTATTTCATTCCAAGTCATCCTCTCATCTCTATAGAGCTGCTTCCCTACGCTGTCTAACAAAACCACTATTTTAGTAGGGCATACAGTACTTTTATGACTGCTGAATACCAATTATCAATCACTTAGATCAGTGTATCCCAACCAGGGATACTAGGACCACAGGGGGTACTAGAAAACTCATGAGACCATAGGTTTTCTGGTAAAATGCACAAGGGGGTATTTCAAGGGTACTCTGGGCAGAGCAAAACGTACTTGCTGGTATATGTGGTCCTCTGTAGCTCAGCTGGTAGAGCACGGCGCTTGTAACGCCAAGGTAGTGGGTTCGATCCCCGGGACCACCCATACACACAAAAAAAAAAAAAAATGTATGCACGCACGACTGTAAGTCGCTTTGGATAAAAGCGTCTGCTAAATGGCATATTATTATTATTTTAACCGAAAAAGGTTGGGAACCACTGACTTAGATCATGTATTTTCAGGTATAGATACCTCGTGAAGCAATTGCTGTCTTTCCCTCTCAACCACGCATTCTTCTGTCTCTTATGTAGCAGGCGTAAAAGAAACAGACCAGACAATTAGGCACGCTATGGATTATGGTCATTGTAGTTAATTACCACGTTTTCTGCGGTAAACTATGTAGAATATTGGCCTGTTGGAAACTACTACGCCCTACTACAGTGCCTTCAGAAAGTATTCACACCCCTTGACTTTTTCCACATTTTGTTGTTACAAAGTGGGATTCAAATGGATTTAATTGTCATTTTTTTGTCAACAATCTACACAAAATACCCTCTGATGTCAAAGTGTAATAAAAATTTAATGGATTTTTTTATTCCATGCAAAATAAAACACTAAAATCTTGATTAGATAAGTATTCAACCCCCTGAGTCAATACATGTTAGAATCACCTTTGGCAGCGATTACAGCTGTTAGTCTTTCTGGGTAAGTCTCTAAGAGCTTTACACACCTGGATTGCACAATACTTGCCCATTATTCTTTAAAAAATGCGTCAAGCTCTGTCAAGTTGGTTGTTGAGCATTGCTAGACAGCCATTTTCAAGTCTTGCCATAGATTTTCAAGCCGATTTTAAGTAAACTGTGACAAGGCCACTCAGGCACATTCAATGTCGTCTTGGTAAGCAACTCCACTGTATATTTGGCCTTGTGTTTTAGGTTATTGTCCTGCTGAAAGGTGAATTTGTCTCAAAGTGTCTGTTGGAAAGGAGACTGAACCAGGTTTCCTCTAGGAATTTGCCTCATGGGATTTCACCATGAGGCCAATGGTGATATCCCTGAGTGGTTCCCTTCCTCTCCGGCAACTGATTTAGGAAGGGCGCGTGTATCTTTGTAGTGACTGGGTGTATTGATACACCATCCAAAGTGTAAAAGTAAGAACTGCACCATGCTGAAAGGGATATTCAATGTCATTTTTTTACCCATCTACCAATAGGTGCCCTTTGTGAACCATAGAAAAACCTCCCTGGTGTTTGTGGTTGAATCTGTGCTTGAAATCCACTGCTCAATTTAGGGACCTTACAGATAATTATGTGTGTGGGGTACAGAGATGTGTAGTCATTTAAAAAATCATGTTAAACACTATTATTGCACACAGAGTGAGTCCATGCAACTTATTATGTGACTTGTTGACCACCTTTTATTTATTTATTACTTTTTTGGGGGGGCGGGTAGATCAACTTTAATATTGCAAATAGATTATAGCTTCCATATATGTAATTGTCTGCATCATTTCCAATCCCCCATATATTTTTTGGTAAATATATCTATATATTTATTTTCCCCTAACCCTACCACCCCTCCCCTAATTGGAGTAAACTAATGGACAACAACACTTAAGCTTCTACCTCCAGCTTATACATACTATATACATTGTACGGACACAATGTATTTTACAATAGTATATTTTGTTTGTTTTTCATCCCATCCTTCAGCTACCCTCAACCCCTCCCATCTATCTCTGAAGACCATCCAGTTTTATTTCTATTTGCCATAAAAAATGTACTGTGCTGTTTCACAAAAGTTCTGAACCCATATACATTTTACGGACACAGTATATTTTTCATTAGTTATCTATTGTTTGTTTTTCGTCCCACCCTTCAGCTCCACTCAACCCCTCCCATCTCTCTCTTAACACCATCCATTTTTTATTTATATTTGCCAAACAGTATATTTTTCACCTGTGCTGTGATGTTTCACAAAAGTTCTGAACCTTTCTATTCTCAACGTTTCTACAGACTGTAAATTAAAGATACGTTTTTTTGCTAAAAGTATTATTATATTATTGATCGATTGACTATGACTTTTCTAATCACCCAGCAGTGCTATTTGCAGAGTTAGCTCCAGGTAAATGTTGCAATTCTTCAGCACATTTTAACTCCTGAACTTATTTAGGCTTGCCATAACAAAAGGGTTGAATACTTACAGTGGGGGAAAAAAGTATTTAGTCAGCCACCAATTGTGCAAGTTCTCCCACTTAAAAAGATGAGAGAGGCCTGTAATTTTCATCATAGGTACACGTCAACTATGACAGACAAATTGAGAAAATAAAATCCAGAAAATCACATTGTAGGATTTTTAATGAATTTATTTGCAAATTATGGTGGAAAATAAGTATTTGGTCAACAACAAACAAGCAAGATTTCTGGCTCTCACAGACCTGTAACAACTTCTTTAAGACTTCACAAGGTTTTCACACACTGTTGCTGGTATTTTGGC